GACACTGCTATTTATAAGTCATGCACGTATCGGTGATGATAAAATTTCAGTGGGCAAGTGTGTGCATGTGATTGGAAGAGGTAGTACCCATAGACTCCAGTAGAGGGCTCCGCCTGTGCTTATAGAACTAGGGTTGCCATATCGTAACCTTTCGTTCCATCTGCTGACAAGCTTTATGGAGATGCTGATTTCCATTTCCATCAGAACTTAGCACCTGCCCACAGTGCCAAAACCACTAGTAACTGGTCTACTAAGAGCAAGCAAGAGAGAGACAGAGAGAAAAACACAGACAGAATGGAAACACACCAAGCACACAACACACAAACCACAGTTGCAGGACAAACAAAAACACTCGCTTCCATACAGGTGTCACAGCCGGGGATTTGTGATAGTTGTAGAATTGAACTTGCCCTTAACCACATAAACCACATATTAAAGAAGGAATGAGGGGCAAATGATATAAGTATGGCTCAGGACCTGCAACTATTTTTCAGTTGCCTGTTTTATAAGTCTTAACCTTAAATATGTCTAAGGCTACCTTATAGTGTGTATTAGACTATTGTAAAGTGTTAGGATACTTCATTGTTGCGTGCAGACACTCATTCTTACTCTAACGTACTGCTCTCCAGCTTTCTGCTATAGACAAATATATTTAGTCCAGAGCACCTGCTGCCATTTTGTGTACCCCAATTCCTGTGTTTTCATGCATAGTTGAGTTGTTTGTTTCCATGTCGGAGGTATGGGTTTTTGGCCATAAGTCTTCCATGGAGACCACTTTTGACTTCTCCAGACTGTAGATCCATCACTGTTACAGGAGAGGAGAACAACTACACTACTACTACTACACTGATGAAGTGCTTAGAGAAACCGGTTCTCCAACACATAAAGAACATAATCCCAGCCAGCCTGGCTCCTCACCAGTTTGTTTTCAGAGCCAACATATCGTCAGAGGATGCCATCTTCACTGCCCTCCACTCAGCCTTCACACACCCTGAAAAAAAAATTCAGAATTCAACACGATCTCCCCCATGAAACTGATCAGCAAACTGCAACTGGATATTGGACATCCTCAAAAACAGACCCCAGACATTTCGGAAGAGCAGCTACACCTCCTCCAGTATCACATAATCTGACATGGTCATCTCACATCTCCATGTCGGCGATAAAAGCTCAAAATTGCTGTATTTCTTAAGGACACTTAAGATGGCAAAATTCCCGTGCCAATTTCTTGTCAACTTTAACAGAGGAGCAGTAGAAAGCATCCTGACTGGAAACATCACTAACTGGCATGGTATGTCCACGGCCCAGGACCGGAGAGCTCTGCAGCGGGAGATTAAAACTGCTCAGAAGATCATTGGTACCAGGATACTAAAAGACAGTACCCACCCCAGCCACAGTCTGTTCACCCTGCTGGCAAGAGATCTAGAAGCTTCTTTTGTTGCACCACCAGACTACAGAGCAGGTTCTTCCCCCAAGCTATAAGACTCTTAAATTCATCCTCAGCACTGCAGCATGCAAAATATTTTACCTTAATAATTCAATTAATAGCTGAGTTCCAAATACCCTCCCCATTTACTGGCCTGGTGGGGGTCCACACAAACTCAAGATCATACCAAATTTTCTGACAAAAGTTTTTTCTTCCAAAACTTTTCTAATAAAGGGTAATAAAAACAATGGGCAAGGCATTGGCTTAATTGAAGCCACTACAGGCAAAGAGGAGCTCTTCACTTCTATTTCAAGGGGTCCACAAATAGGCAAAACAAATAAGACACGATAGCTGTAATTGTTGTGAAAAAAAGTGTTGTAAGACAGAAATAATAATACATCTGAGACCCAGTAATGCATTTTTTTGGGGACAATCTTGGCCAAGATATTTTTGCTTCATGGGCAAGGAGCACATTTGCAGTTAAGAGTATTGCATTGCATCTTTATGCAGTACAGTGTATCTTAAATCAGGTTTCTAGAAAAATAAGTTAAAATACTTTGAAAACATTAGAGAAGATTCAAGGACACATACACATTTTCCCCTCATATCACAAGAAAACATGAATGTAGTTCGATGTACGCCATCTGATTGGACAGACCTTTGTATTTATTATGGTAATTATGTGGGGGCTGATTATTTAATTATCAAGTCTAAAGGTTCAGCACAGTGGCAACTGAGACACACCTCAACACTGTTGCATCAGCTAACTTGAGGCGCATGGTATGACTCTTACTAAACTACAGGTCTTTAGTGATTTTAAGTGACTTATTATCTGTGTTCCAACATTCATTTTGTGTACTTAAAGTATTTAAAATGTTTTCTGAATGTAATAATGGAACATTGAATTGCAGGAATCTAGAGGCATGGAACCAGAAGTGACTGTCAACAGGACTTTCACGGTTAATGACATTCATCCCTGTTATGAATTAGATAATACAACATACGTATTTAAGACCAACCCTTCCATAAAATGTATATTATATATATTTTTCTTGGTTCATTGTCTGTTGTCACAATATGTGGAAACCTTCTTGTAATAATCTCCATCATCTTCTTCAAACAGCTCCACATCCCTACTAACTACCTCATCCTGTCTCTGGCTGTGGCTGACCTGCTTGTAGGAGTTTTAGTCTTTCCTTTCAGCATGGCATTTACTGTAACCTTGTGTTGGTATCATGAAGGTTTATTTTGTAAAGTACGAGGAAGCTTTGATGTTACACTGAGCACAGCTTCTATTTTGAACTTATGTTGTATTTCTATTGACAGATATTATGCAGTGTGTCAGCCTCTCGCTTATAAAAGTAAAATCAATGATCGTGTTACTGTGATCATGATCCTTGTGAGCTGGGGATTTTCTGCTCTAATTGGAATTGGCATCGTAATTGCAGGTTTTAATCAAGGAAAATGTGGAGAAAGTTGTTTAATTGATTCTCTAATATCAACTACTCTGGCATGTATTTTCTCTTTTTATATCCCTGTCATTATATTGCTCTGTATCTACCTGAAGATATTCCTTGTTGCACAAAGACAGGCAAATGCATTCAGAACACAATGTGTCAGAGCACAAAGTCTGGAGCAACTGTCCGTAAGATGGAAAGAAAGGCCACTAAAACTCTGGCTGTAGTTATGGGAGTTTTTCTCTTATGCTGGACTCCTTATTTCTTGTGTATCATCTTTCAGCCTCTAACATATGATGTAACACCAGTTGCTGTGATTGAAACACTTAACTGGCTCGCACTGTCAAATTCAATGCTCAATCCATTTATTTATGCTTTCTTTTACACCTGGTTCAGATCAGCTTTAAGAATGATCATTTCTGGGAAAATATTTCAAGGTGATTTTGTAAACTTAAAACTCCTTTAAATTTTTGTTTTGAATGTCCAAATACCATTTTAATTGGAGAATGGTGATAAAGGTTGAAACAATATTATAACTATAATATTCACTGTCTGACAAATATTTACTGTATATACATACACACTAGTATTTCTTATTTAACACTAAAAAAATACATTCATTCCAGCACAATAACACTTAGATAAATAATAATAAGTCTAAATAACTTAGCAGGGCATTCCATATGGCTCTGTGACAGATGTCCTATCAAATAATTTTTTTTTTTACCTAAACGTCTGTTACAACACCCATGTTCACAAAATTTCACGTTTTCTTTCAAAATCAAATACCTGTATGTATTTTGAAAGAATGGCTGTAATAGTTACTCCTCTCTACAGGTGCATCTCATAAAATTAAAATATTGTGGAAAAGTTAGTTTCTGTAATTTAAGTCAAAAGCAAAACATTACGCCTTGCTTAGAAATGTATTTGAATTGAAGAGTCTGAGAGGAAAAGCTGCTCTGCAGTCTGGTCAGGGGCTGCGTAGGACAAAAATTTTGCCCTGGCACTGTAGCCATACCAGCCCACATTACTACACCCATGCATCCCCAACTTTGAACACAAGCTTTCACTCCTTAAATTTGTATACAGATGGTAAAATAATAAGTGGTACCATATGTAACAGATATTTAAATTAATGTATGTGACTGGCAAACAATGTTTTCTACTTTTTAAGAAGCACACATTTATAACAAATTTGCACAGACTAAAAACTACTACTGTAGAGTTAATTACAAACCCAAATTATATTTATTATTAATTATATTAACTCTACCACACTGCTCCATGTATCTGTTATGCCTACAGTAGCATCCTTCAAGCACTGGTATGTGAAGAACAGGGGTGGCTGTACTGTGTGTGTGTGTCCCAACATATTTTTACATGTTTAAATCCCTTATGATATACAATTATTTGTGAATTTAAATAAAGTATTCTAAAGTCTTGCTAATGTGCTAGTTTTGAATCGATGGAGAGAACAGAAGTAAGCCAACGGCTTCAGTGTTTTACTTGAATATATGACTAACTTGTGTTCAAAGTAAAGTACTGTAGAAGCAATGACATTTTAAAATAGGCTACTGTGAAAGACTGGAGCTAACATGCATAAGTACCAGGAACCAGGGCAACCTGATGACTAATGGGCTACTGGAACAAGACATTCATGGACTAGAGCAGAAAATACAAGCAATCCCGGTGAGAGGGGTTAGATGCAGAGACTGTGGGATATATGGATGCCTCGAAACCCATCATCAACACTGACAAAGAAACAACTCCTAGCTCAGTGTTCTAACATCCGCAAACGGCCGCTCCTATCACAACTAGAGATTGATGAGGTACAACAAATATGTTACGGCAAGGGCGAAGATGTTATCATCATCCCCACACTCAGAGATTGGGTCACAAGCCCCAATAACAACAAGCCCTTACGGCACAGAATCACTCAACATAAGGGTGACTGACCTACGATTGAAGATCATAACTAAGCTGGACCCGTGGCGACCAAAATTGCCAAGGCTAAGTGACAAAGTACCCTCGGAAAGTCTGCTAGAAGATGTGAATGCAGCACTACATACTATCCCTACTAAAGCCATAACCAAAACCAATGACCAGATGTACGCTAAATGATGAAGACCAAAAGCCACAAGGAGCATTACCCCCCCATGGAGGAGAAGGCTGGAGGCCAAGATCAAGGTTAGTGAGCTCCCAGAGCTACAGAAAGGTGCAAAGAAGAAATACAACAAGCTGTCAAAACCTGAGGCTCTGGGAACCTTTTATGATCTTAGTGCTACGCGAGTGCAGCCTGTCAATAGCACTAGCACTACTCCACGGACGACTTCCAACAAGACTACCAAGAAGCAGCTGTGTACTGGGTAATAAATCTAAAAGTGGGATTCCTCCCTGGAACGCTCTTGGTGCAAAGCCTAAGAGTAAATCATTTCCTGGGGAAATGGGAGGACGAGTAACAGGCAGAACCCAGCGCCCTGAGATTTGTGATGCGACTGGCTGGCCTGCATTATCATCGAGGCAGAGCACCTCTTCAACCCCTTTTCTTGGTAGGACAAAGCCGTAGACAGCTGTGAAAGGGAGAGTTAGCAACAAACCTCCCTATCAACCGAGTGTGCAACAGCAGAACAGATTTTCACCACTATTGCAGGACCCTGGATCTCCATCTGATGACCTGGATAACCTCCCGTCCTCACACAGAAGGTAAGGACTGAGAGTAAATCAGAAAGTAAAAGGCTGCAGGGAAAGCTAACGACTGGGCCTCAAACTCTGATTGTGGGTGACGCTGCTGTAAACGATGTAAGAAGCATGTGCAGTAAGAACACCAAAATACTCTGCTTTCTGAAGGATACGTGGTCTGACTTGACAGAAAGAATCCTGCATATCGTGGCTGAACATCCTACTGTGAAAAACATCATACTGCACATCGGGACCAATGATGTTGTGAAGCAACAGTCTGAAGTGTTGAAAAAGGACTTTAATAATCTGTTGAACACAGTCAGCTCTTTGAATGCTGAGGTGGCCCTATACCGCCAATACGAAGAGGGGCTGAGAGATTCAGCAGATTGATGGCATTGAACACGTGGCTCTCAACGGCATGTACTGTCCATTCAGTGCATTTCATCAAAAACTTTTACTTTCTGTGGGACCGCAGACATCTTTTTAAGGCAGATGGACTGTGCAAGGATGCCCCTGAGACATTACAGCACATAACAGCAGGGTGTAAGATGCAGGCAGGAAGTGCGTACATGGAACGCCATAAGCAGGTAGCTGGCATAGTGTACAGGAACATCTGCCATAAGTATGGGTTGGAAGTCCCAAGGTCAAAATGAAAGACACCTCCTAAGGTAGTTGAGAATGACCGAGCTAAGATCCTGTGTGACTTCAAGATCCTGACTGACAAACTGGTGATGGCTAACCAACCAGACATTGTGTAGATTGACAAAAAGCAGAAGAAGGCTGCAGTGACAGATGTGGCAATCCCAAGCAACAGCAACATCAAGAAGAAGGAACACGAGAAGCTTGAGAAATACCAAGGGCTGAAAGAGGAGCTGTGGAAAGTAAGAGCAACAGTGGTGGCAGTGGTTATCGGAGCACTGGGGGCTGTGACCCCCAAACTGGGAGAGTGGCTACAGCAGATTCCAGGTAGAACATCAGAGGTTTCTGTCCAGAAGAGTGCAGTCCTAGGAACAGCTAAGATACTGCTCAGAACCCTCAAACTCCCAGGCCTCTGGTAAAGGACCCCCTACCCATAGGAGACCAGTGGGAACAAGATAGAAAGAATGTGGCAGGTCCGGGGAAGGAGTTTTGTTAAGGAAATTGTGTGTGTGTGGCAGTGTGTGCAATAAAGACACTGTGTTACAACATACCCCTGAGTCAGCATATGCAACCCGGTCTCACTTCCAAGTCGTCACATATGGACGCTTGGTCAAGAGCCATAATCGTCAGTTTGTGACGCACTAGGGATCCCTTTGACGTCATAGTTCGACGTATTGAGGGAAGCCCTGTTGTGTCAGTTTTTGATGGTAAAGGCAAGTATGATATTAAAGAGAAAAGACGAAGTAAGGAGGTGATTGGGGTGGATAGAGGGCCAGAACCCGGACCTTGAAGCAGGAGAACAGGGTTTGTGTCCCGTGCGAAACAAAACATTAAATGTTTTTATTTAGGCGAGTGAGGTACATTGACATTAACGTTAGTTAACTTAAGTCTTAATTGACATACATAGCTATTTTAACCCAAACCATGATCTTTTCCTAACCTTAACCAAGTAGTTTTGTTGCCTAAACCCAACCAAGTACTTTCTGTGCCTAAACCTAACGAAACTGCAACGTTTCACGACTTTATTATGCGCATTTCAACATGGCAATGTATCGAAACGTTACGTTTTATCTTGAAAGTGTAACCGGATATTGCATATTTATTGTTGCTAAGCGTTGCTAACTTGACTGTGGATCCCTAAACGTCAATAATTGATGCAAAAGGGCTACCCAAGTCTTTAAAAAGCGACGACAAAGGGCCTTGACCATGCGTCAGACATTTGACGAGTAGGGAGTGAGACTGTGTTGGCATATGTACTGGGGTCACCCGTAGCTGGAGGCTTCTGCAACACCAAAGAAGTAGGTTGGAGATGTTGCCTACTGAAGTATAGCCTGCTGTCAACAGCCTCTCGTGCTGCGGTCATGTAGTCTAACACTGCATTACAAACAATGCTGACTCTCCACAAAATGCTCTATAACTACAGACAGTATAAAAATCTTTAATGTCTCTTTCCATCGTGATTTGTTTTCCTTAATGGATTATACACCTATATTATCCTCACTCTTCAGTGGGATACGGAATATCTCGGCTGGAAAGTGAAACTTTAGTTTCGCCTGGCATTCCTTGCTACCTTTCTTCATAATGTGTAATCCATTCAGTTGTTTTATGTGTGTAGTTTATACTGAGTTTAACATGTGTTTGATGTGGTCAGAATGTCTCCCTGATCACCCACAGAGGTGGTTTTGCTGAATAGATTACACTCCATACTCAATGCGTCTTGGGTGCAATTACATATGTACTTGGCTATTAACCCCAGGAAAATACTGCTATTTAAATGTCTTTGTCTCTCAGTGTCCCTGCGATGTACTGGCGACCTGTCCAGGGTGTACCCCGCCTTTTGCCCGATGTCAGCTGGGATTGGCTCCAGCCCCCCGCAACCCTGTATGCAGGATAAGTGGTTGACGATGGATGGATGTCAGTCAGTGTTAGCTTAGTATTCATGCATTCACTCTCTAAACCATAAACATACACTCTGTCTTAACTTTGTCTTAACAGGTAGCCTACATTTATGAGAATTTATATATGAATTTATACAAAGGGCCCTGCTTTTCTTAAAGCTGAATTTTGCTCTCATCTTGTGTGTGTGTGTGTGTGTGTGTGTGTGTGTGTGTTGGTGGGTGGGGATGGGGGGGTGGAAGGGGACACTGACTACAGGCTGTTCATTTTGGTCTTTCTCCCCACTTCTTTGTTTACTAAAATTGCATAAAATAAGAGACACAATAAGAGTGACAAGTTGAGGACGGCTGCTTTACTCCAAACAGTTTAACTGTATGAACCTGGAAACACACTTAAGTTGTCCATGAATGTCACAGGTAGAACTATTCTTTGTGCTTTTCATTAAGTTATTTATTTAAACATTTTGTTATTATTCTAGTTCTAATTTATTTTGCTTGACTGTTTCTCCTTTTCATGCTTCCTCAGTTGTTTTCAGATGTCAGCTGTTTATTACTGATGTTCTGCTGGTTGCCTCTTTGTTTTTTTGTTTGTTTTTTATTCTCCGCCCCAAGCCTCCCTCCCCGTTCTCTTGCAGATGTGTGGTGTCTGTTTGTGAGGTGAGTGTGCCCCCCATCCCCATTTCTGCCCCCCTGTCCAGCCAGGTGACAAATCAATACATAATTAAATAAATAATAACACAAACAAAGGATATCAAATCTGTATGGCACAACATGATATCCAGCTCCTCATACTGTATACCAGGCTGTGGGGCAGCACAAGTTTAAAAATTAGCTTTGCACTGCATCTTTATGCAGTATATCAGGTTTCTAGTAAATAAGTTAAAATACATTTAAAAAGTTAGAGCAGATGCCAGGACACATACACATTGTTTTCCTCATATCACATGCAAACATCTGTCCAACCATCTGATTGGACAGACCTTTGAATTTATTATTATTTATTATGGTAATGATGTGGGGGCTGATTATTTAAATATCAAGTCTAAATGTTCAGCACAGTGGCAACAGAGACACACCTCAACACTGATGCATAGGCTAACTTGAGGCGCATAGTATGATTTAAAAACTCTTTAAAAACTCAGGTCTTTATTGATTTGAACCAGTTATCTTTGTTCCTTAATAACACTGATGTTGTGGATACAAATGCTGATGTAAGTATCAATAACATTATTTTAAACAAGGATGTTAAATATTTTCTGAATTTAATGTTTAGTAATGAAACACTGAATTGCAGGAATCTAGAGGCATGGAACCAGAAGTGACTGTCAACAGGACTTTCACGGTCAATGACATACATCCCTGTTATGAATTAGATAATACAACATACGTATTTAAGACCAACCCTTCCATAAAATGTATATTATTATATATTTTTCTTGGTTCATTGTCTGTTGTCACAATATGTGGAAACCTTCTGGTAATAATCTCCATCATCTACTTCAAACAGCTCCACATCCCTACTAACTACCTCATCCTGTCTCTGGCTGTGGCTGACCTGCTTGTAGGAGTTTTAGTCTTTCCTTTCAGCATGGCATTCACTGTAACCTTGTGTTGGTATCATGAAGGTTTATTTTGTAAAGTACGAGGAAGCTTTGATGTTACACTGAGCACAGCTTCTATTTTAAACTTATGTTGTATTTCTATTGACAGATATTATGCAGTGTGTCAGCCTCTCGCTTATAAAAGTAAAATCAATGATCGTGTTACTGTGATCATGATCCTGGTGAGCTGGGGATTTTCTGCTCTAATTGGAATTGGCATCGTAATTGCAGGTTTTAATCAAGGAAAATGTGGAGAAAGTTGTTTAATTGATTCTCTAATATCAACCACTCTGGCATGTATTTTCTCTTTTTATATCCCTGGCATTATATTGCTCTGTATCTACCTGAAGATATTCCTTGTTGCACAAAGACAGGCAAAATGCATTCAGAACACAACGTGTCAGAGCACAAAGTCTGGAGCAACTGTCAGTAAGATGGAAAGAAAGGCCACTAAAACTCTGGCTGTAGTTATGGGAGTTTTTCTCTTATGCTGGACTCCTTATTTCTTGTGTATCATCTTTCAGCCTCTAACATATGATGTAACACCAGTTGCTGTGATTGAAACACTTAACTGGCTTACACTGTCAAATTCAATGCTCAATCCATTTATTTATGCTTTCTTTTACACCTGGTTCAGATCAGCTTTAAGAATGATAATTTCTGGGAAAATATTTCAAGGTGATTTTGCAAACTTAAAACTCCTTTAAATTTTTGATTTGACTGTCCAAATACCATTTTAATTGGAGAATGGTGATGAAGGTTGAAACAATAATATTATAACAATAGAATATTCACTGTCTGACAAATATTTACTGTATATACACACTTGTATTTCTTATTTAACACTGAAAATTACGTTCATTTCAGCACAATAACACTTGCAGATAACAGATAAATTTTGAATCTGAGTTTATTTAACCAGTGTAAATAACTTAGCAGGACATTCCATATGGCTCTGTGACTGTGGCTCTGTGACAGATAGTGTCCTATCAAATACTGTTTGTTACCTATATGTCTGTTATAACAGATGCCTGCCTCAAGGTCTCCACTGTAAGATCCCTTCCACACACCTGTGTTCACAAAATTTCACATTTTCTTTCAAAATCAAATACCCATGTGTATTGACATCATGTCTGTAATAATTAATCCTCTCTACAGGTGCATCTCAGAAAACTAGAATATTATGGAAAAGTTAATTTTTCTCCTGGAATTTAAGTCAAAAAGCACCAGGCATGTATTCTAGATTGATTCCACAAAAAGTTTACTTTTTACTTTTTTTGTTTTATTTTGATGATTACAACTTAGAGCTCATGGAAATCAAAAATCCACATCTCACATAGCCCTCTGCTCCCGCAGTCACACATGCCACTGCAGCCAAAGCAGCAGACGAGTCCAGCAAAAACGGCACAGGAAACCACAGCCGTAAGATAGCTTAAATGTTGGTACCACTTTTATTCTGTCATTACATTTTGAGTAATTTAAATCAAATCAAGAGACATCAGGCTGATGATGTACAGAAAATTCTTGGCTTGTGAAACTTGAGAAAAAAGAAATAACCACAGAAATATTATGCAAGGGGGACTGTTGTTGCTTTGCTATTATAATCATTATTATTAAGACAGACATTACATTGTTAGTGTAGAGTGGTGGTTACAATACTTGCTTTCTATTGCTTTTATTTTATGTAATTCTTATTAATGCACCAATACACCAAAGCAAATTGCTTATAAGTTAGAACTTGGCAATAAACCCGATTCTGAGCATTTATTTGGGGTAATAAAGCCTGGCTGTTATTTTGGCGGTCTCTGTGATGGGGGTATTGCACAATCTTGCAATTGTCATTTCCGGTTAGTGCACAACAGCAGTGCTTGATTTGAGGCAACGCTATCCTGTCGAAATAAACGCACTAAGCAAGTAAGTAAATAGTGTACGCAGTGTACTGCATGTTAGTATATGAAAGGAAGTACTTGAATTGAGACACAGCACATACTCCTTGTGAAGTATACATGGACCAGCAAGGACAGAACAGAAATGACATACATTTAAACGCAAGGTAACGAGCAGGGCGGGAACAAGACCAGTTGGAGCACATGAGGAAATCAGACAGAACACAGAGGCAGGCAAGAAGGTGACACCAATCATCAGACAAGACAGGACCAGACCTAATGCAGAAACAAACTGAACAACCCAACAGATGAAAACTAAACAGAACAGGAAACAAGCAGACAGAGCACAAGACAAAAACTATCAGGACATGAAACCCAAGACACCGAACTGACCAAACAACAAAACAGACAGAGACCCAAACTAACACTTACCAGACAGGCAGACAGAAGCCAAGCATGAATGAAACACCAGACAATAACAGAATAAAACAAGAACGAAGACAGGCACAGAAGACAGGAAACCGACAACACTCAAACCACAAAACAAACCAAGCAGACTAATTAACTGATAATACAGACAGACTCCAGACAAAACGGTGAAACAGACTAAAACAAGGATGATGACATAGAAACCCAGTGCAGACAAGATCAAAATGATAAACACAGATGTAAATAGACCAGGGGCCGGTATCACAAAGCGAGTTCAACATACCCAGGATATATTTTCATTAACTGTGGCCTGTACTACAAAGGGAGTTCAACCTACTCAGAGTTAACTCAGGGTTATCAAGCAAACTCAGGGTTAACAAACTCTGACTGCCTACACTGGGGTTAAACTGTACTACAACAGTGAATAAGATGTTGGTTAGTTGAGTCGGTGTTAACTTAATTGGAGTTGGTGCACGTTTGCATAAAAGGGCATGTTCAGCCATGCAGACAGAGTTTTTCGCAACGGCGCATGCTCCGTATTTTCCCCAGAAGAATCCATGTTGATAGTGTCAGGGTATGAGGAGTTTAAAGACACAATAACAGCCAAATCTAACACTGTGTCAGCCGACAAAGCCAGGGAGGCTTGTTGGTATCGCATTGAGTAAATTTGTAATTATCTTCACAGTGTTCTTATTGTAGGCTAATTCTTTATTATGTAGCCTATTTTATGGACCCTTCATTTATGTGTAATATCATTAAGATGTAAAGATACAACTGCACATTATGTCCACTGTAATAAAAAAAATTGGAGCCATGGGAGAGGGGGAAACAATTTTCAAGATTACTGAGGTAGATTTAAAAGAAACTATCACAACAAGCTACAAACTTGGATATATTCTCTGACATTGCATACATTTATGAGAGAAACTCTCTGCAAAATAATGTTGTTTTTTTCAAATTGCTTCACTTTCCAAGGCTGCAACATCACACACACCCCTTTCCTGTATTATGCATGCGGTGGAAAATTATGTTTCACAATCGGATTTATCAGTGAGGAAATAGGTAGAGTTTAGCCCACAGTCATAGGCGTTTCTGTTCTTTGATTTGATACTTTCATCTAGGATTTGTGTTCTCGGTCTATTAACCTGGCTCCATATTTTTTGGGCACGTAAAATAGTCAATTTGAATATGTGACAACAATTAGTATAATTCACTTCTCAGAAACTGTCCCGTTAATTAATCAAGATCTCCTCCCTAAAATCACAGAGGCTGCAGGGCTCGCTGTATGAGCGTAATGCTGTTGTGTGAAGAATAATGTCATTTCAGCTGTAACCGCAGTGGAACAAGTCAGGATGAAATCTAAAAATATTTTATTAAGTGGTGTGAAATTAATATCAAAGTTATCATCATTAACACTGGGTACGGATGTGGTGTGTAGTCCACGTATACAGGGTAACCTCGAGTTAACCACGAACAAAAACTGCTCGGAGCAGTTTAGAGATGTAGCATAAATTGCCATGGCAACAGACCTCGGTTAACACCTATCCACCTTTCATAGTATGGGTTAACCGGGAAGTTACACCTGACGTCACAAAGTTACTCCTATCTAGTTACCTAGATAAGCCAGTTACCTCGCTTTGTGGTACAGGCCACTGGCTTCACTAACCCTAACAATCACGATCTGGATAAGCATTCCCACAAGGCTGGTTACCAACTCAATAACTCAAGCGAGGGTTTCCCAATCGAGCCGTGAGCGCGTTCACATAAAAGAGGCGGTGTTAGCAGCAGATGATCAATCGCAGACATGAACAAGTCCACTGGCCGTGAAACCCGTTTATTTTAACGACAGGCTGTGTGAAACGGACTGGGGAGCAAATAAAAAATATAAAACACATTTCAAAGCTTACAAGGCTTTTTTAAACTGTAGTATGTACTAAGTTTTTGTTCATTCTACATTCAGGGAAGAAACAACAAAGAAGAAAAAAACATTTTTTAATTCCCTTTCTCTCCCAGTCATTAAAGGTCAGGTCGGTTCTAACTTGGTTTAGATCTATCATCATAGGCTAACCAGCTCAACGGTCTCACTCCTCTCCTAGTTTATGTCTATTGATAAAATCAGACCAGATGTTCAGTGTAAGCTTACCAGGCTGTCAGTCAGTCTCTGTAGGATGATATTGCTAGCCTACAAAAGTTTCACATCATGGCAGCAAACATAAAAGCAACCTATAAAACAGTCTGTGGGATTTCCTACAGATGGTGATGTCATTTCCAAAGAGATCTGATTGGTCAGTAGGCGGCGTTTTCATTCAGTTGATCTCTTGATGATTGTTGATCTGGAACATAACCTGCTCCAGAGCAGGTTAGCCGTTCAACAGAAGTTACCATGGAGATCTACCCCAGAACCACTGTCACTGTGGTACTGAAAACCCCGAAGTTACCTCGATAAGCTCAAATCCTGCTGCCCCAGGGGCCTGTACCACGATTTTGCCTGTCTGAACTCCCATGGATTTGTTTGCCTTCAGTTAGGATTTTCTTCTGGGATTTTGCCTCCCTATTTCTGTTAAAGCCTATTCACAATTTGTTTAATCTTTAATAAACACCAAAAACGGTATGTGCTCCTGCATTTGGATCTATTGGGATCACTGGGACCTAACAAAAGTGAATTAGTCCATTGTTGTCTTAATTTGACTTGACTTGACTGCAGCTTCGATTGGTCAATGACCTGTGACTTCAGACATCTCATTGACAAAACCAGCAGCACGAGGTCTGTCTCTTTCTCTTTCCATTCTCTCAGCTCTGCTCCTCATCTGGACGGAACCGCAGGCCACAGCGGCCTCCCAGCTTGGCCTGGTCAAACCAGACACCAAGCAGACCTCTTTAATCTTACAGCTGCGACACAAGGTCCCACTTAAGATCCTGCAACCAGGAGAACAGACAGAGCGACTGGACCCTCTCATCTGTATCACGACACAGACAGCAATTAAACAATTCTTTTCCATCTGGCTCCATCCACAACAGACCTGTCAGCTAACATTGCAACACCCAAGCATCTTTTTCTTCAATGGACTAGTAAGATACTGGGCATTGCATAGCTTCACATAGCTTAACTGCAACGTTAAACTGGTTAAGCACAGGACTGTTTAGCTGTTGTAAATGTACATTGATGTGTTTTATTGTTGTGATCATTAATGTGAGATTATGTACAGTCCTCAGCCATTGCTAAATTGGTTAGAAATGTTATGCTTCACACAGACACACCGTCTTTGCATGGTAACTAACTCCTTTTAACTTGGCACTGTTACACAGATAACATAAGTACACACGTACTTCTATTCGCTTACTTGATGCTTGCCTGTGTTAGCAATGTTGTCGACTCGAGCAAAATCAGACAGAGGTTTAGCTGCCAGTTATAAATCCCGAGTTGATGTTAGCTAACTTACTAGATAACACTCCCAGACATTGGTAACATTGCTGTAAGTGCTCTTGTGTTGGTTGTTGTCCAGCTTTGTTGGCTTGCTTGCCACCCAAGTTTTAAGCAAAATTATGCTGCTGCTGGTGGAGTAAGGTGCCAGGCGACATAATTGGGCTCAGCAGGCTTTACGGACAACATGTTGGGAGACACAAAGACACCGAAGAAGATGATGACAGAAGAAGCTGAGATGAGAGTGACCAAGAAAGGCTGGTGGACGTTGGTGAAAGCTTCATTAAATAAAAGGCAGCAAAACAGATGCATAGCTGGCATTCTTTCAGTTCGACTAGTGGGTGGCTGGTTTGCTATGTCTTGTGTTGTCACATTTGCTTTATCTTTGACTGTGTTGGCAAAGTAGTCGACTTGCTAGTTTTTGATCATAAGTAATGTAATTGTAACAAATGCACGTGCATAGCTGTCTTTATTATTGACAGTGGTGATTTACATTCACTTACAAATCGCACAAAAAACCCCAAATCTTACATAATGTTGCTTTTAAACACTTGCAAGTGAACACACCCAAAATTCATGTATCATCATCACCATTTTGTATCTTTGGATTTCATGCCAACAGGAAACAGGTACCCACATCTGGCTGAATTAGCAAAGTTTGTGTTAATTTATGAAATGAGATAGGGGTTGATAATAAACTGTTCCAATTTCAAAGGTTTTTCTGAGTGGCACACTGACTAAGGACACACAACACTGTTCTTGCATGGACTATACTGAGGTGTTAGAACAGACTCAAGGACACACATACATTTTATATCCCTCATATCACAGGCAAACAAAGGAGAGGAGAGGAACAACAAGAGGGGGAAAACACCAAAACAATCTCACAGCTCTGACCCAAACCCTAGTAAATGTGGATGGATTAATATAAGGAGTATAGGAGAGGAAAGGTTAAGGATAAAAACACAATACATATATATCTATAAGCCATAACAACAATAGTAATAATAAAAATATTAAAAGATCATACATAAAAGATCAAATGTAAGAGGACACAATTTTATGCCATAACAGAATGTAGTGTATGCTATGTGATTGGACAGATCTTTGAATGTATTATGCTAATTATGTGGGGGCTGATTATTTAAATATCAAGTCTAAAGGTTCAGCACAGTGGGAAAGTGAATGAGGACACACCTCAACACTGATCGGCTAACTTGAAGTGCATGGTATGACTCTTAATAAACTACAGGTCTTTAGTGATTTTAACCTTGTTATCTTTGTTCCGAATGAATATTGATGTTGTTGTGGATATATGCTGAAGGAAATATCAATAGCATGATTTTAAATGTTTAATTGTTTAATAATGGAACATTGAATTGCAGGAATCTAGAGGCATGGAACCAGAAGTCAACAGAACTTTCACTGTTAATGACATACATCCCTGTTATGAATTTGATAATACAACTTATGTATTTACAAGCAACCCTTCCATAATGTGTGTATTGTTATATATTTTCCTCTGCTTATTATCTGTTGCCACAATATGTGGGAACCTTCTGGTAATAATCTCCATCACTTACTTCAAACAGCTCCACATCCCTACTAACTACCTCATCCTGTCTCTGGCTGTGGCTGACCTGCTTGTAGGAGTTTTAGTCTTTCCATTCAGCATGGCATTCACTGTAACCTCATGTTTGTATCACGAAGATCTATTTTGTAAAATAAGAGATGGCTTTGATGTATCGTTGTGCACATCTTCTATTCTGAACTTATGTTGTATTTCCATAGACAGATATTATGCAGTATGTCAGCCTCTGACATATACAACTAAAATTAATGTTCATGTTACTGTGATCATGATCCTGGTCAGCTGGGGTATTTCTGCTCTAATTGGAATTGGCATCATAATTGGAGGATTCAGCCAAGGAACATGTAAAGAAATATGTTCAGTTGATATTGTTATGGCAAACACTATGGGACCTGTTTTCTCATTTTACCTCCCAGCAATCATAATAGTCTGTATCTACCTGAAAATTTTCCTTGTTGCACAGAGACAGGCACGCATCATCCAGAACACAGCCTGTCAGAGCACAAAGTCTGGAGAAACTTTCAGTAAGATGGAGAAAAAAGCCACCAAAACTCTGGCTATTGTGATGGGAGTTTTTCTATTATGTTTGACTCCTTACTTTCTTTGTATCATCTTACAGCCTTTCACTTATAATCCCCCACCAGTGTCTGTGATTGAAACACTTAACTGGCTTACACTGTCAAATTCAATGCTCAATCCCTGTATTTATGCTTTCTTTTACAGCTGGTTCAGATCAGCATCTAGAATGATCATTTCTGGGAAAATATTTCAAGGTGATTTTGCTAATTCAAAATTGTTTTGATTGTTTGATGTAGTGCTGAAAATTTGCCATGCCAATAAGGTTGGATAAATAAAATGTACATTTATCTCAATATTGCACACAGTGTGGTTTATCAAAAATAACCAACCAATAACAAATAGAACTTTTTACACAGTTTTAATTCAGTGTTACACAAACTATACAGATAAATACTGAACAATATAATCCATAAAAATTATAATGTTCAGATTTTGTTGAAACTGATCTGGACAGGTGTTGCATCATCCTGATAGGGGTTTCTAATATTTGATGGAGGATGCAGGGGAGGGAGGCTAGGGGCTTTTGGTTTATTTAAAATTGCTTATAAGAAGAATGTTCATAGTTATGTGCTTTGCATTGAATGTGTTGTCCAAAAATGATTAAAAGCATATCAGTTAGCCACACAAATGACATTGCACTGGGTCACATGTTTCTTCACCACAATGAAAATATTCCGTTTCTTTACTCCTATTTCAGTAATATTTACTAAAACTACAGTGTCCACATGTTTTACTGAACATTAAAAAAAAAAGTAAATTAGTTAAAGATTTTATTTCTTTAATAGGACAAAATGGGTGTGGGGCTGAGAGACTAAGAGTTGGGGAAGTTTAAAGTATTGAGAGTTGAATTAAGGCATTGCTGTTTATAATATTTTAATGGGATTTGTTGACTATGTTGAAAACAGATAATAAAGCCAGATTTATCCTTTCATGATTTTTGTTTTCAATCATTTGGCTAAAATGTAGGTTTAAATAAAATTTTCATAGGAAGCTATTCTGGAACTGCAGCTATTAAAGATGTTCAGAATAAAAACAGCAGTGTACAGACATAACTCGCCACAATGAGTCATTTCAGCTTTAGCAGAGCCACATGAAGTCATGTTCAGAGACTGCTGTCTGCCTCATGCTCTCTCTGGCAGGTTATGCTGCTGGTGTTACTTGTCTTCACACCAGCAAAGCAGCAGGATCACCTTACCTAGACTACTGATTTTTTACTTTCTGGTTCAGTGCATACATTGGTAGGACAAGAACTCGTGACTCTTTGAACCAAATTCCTTGCATTGCCATTGCTGAACCTGTACAACTGGAAGGCATATTTGTACCCAAGAACGCCTGCCCCTAGCTCAGGAATAAAGGAAAATAGGTCAGACAAATGAAAGTGGCCCCTAGTGACCTACCTTCTTTATTTGGAGCAATAACTGGTACACTACACCTTGACCTTAACTGACTGTGACAATTTGGTTGTAATATGTGAAATAAAAAATAAAACATCTGGACAAATAAAGTCTACCATCAAAGTTCTGGCCCACCGGTGCTCCCAATGGCTAGCTCGACTCTTAATGGCTTAACCCAACAGCTGGACTGGAATAAAAGTCCTCATATTGCTAAAATACTACTTAACCTTAGTCAATTCTGCCTTTACCAGTAAGAGATGTTTGTTTTGTTATTGTTTAAGAGGATCACAGTCATACATCTTCTATGAATGAAAATGGTATTTGTGTCAGGGAAAAAACAGTAATGTAACCGCAGAATATACATTTACTATGTCCAATATATTGATGTATTGATATAAGACTAAAACACCATGTATTGGTTTTAGGCAGCGTGGGCTCAAATGTCCCCTCTGAACGAGCATGAGACATGTTCATGAAGCGCAGGCTTATTATGTCATCATTCACCAGCCTGTTAGCGCCCCATCCTGTCTGGTTTTAGTTATTACAGTAGAAAGCTTTACTCAACCCACAACAGTGTATAATAACAAACCGTTTGTGTTAAAGTTATCTGAAGAATTTCCTTTGTATGATAGAGCTGATTTGAATGACAAAAGACAGATTCATATCAGTTACAACATAGCATTTCTTTTTCTTTTTTTGCACAGACTTGTTGAGATCTGACCTGAAGAAGGTCATGGTGGTTGGAAATGTCGTACGTTGCCACCTTTCCATCAATTCTTTGCATAAATTGCTGGAATTCTTAACAGTTCATGTTAAATTTTGGTTTTGGTTTTATCAGCCTAGGCTAAATTGTTTACCAATTAACTGGCTAACAATTTGACCCAAGTAGCCGCCTTCACAGTTGCTTGCAAATTGCTGCCTATGTTAGTCTGCCACAAGATTGAAGCTGTTGCTCTCAAATATTTGAAATACAAAAATACAATGGTTTATTTTGATATATGGCATGGCTGCCGTGTCTTTTAGTTTATTTTGGTACACTTAAAATTAGGGTATTTGGTATGTTATTTTAAAATACATTTTGATGTATCTATGCCCATCCCTGCCCACATATATAGTGAAATCCCTGTTTTTGGACCCCACAAATAACGAAAAAACAAGCCCTCAATGGTAAAAGAAATGCTCAATAAATAAATAAATATCCTACAGTCTGAAAGACTGCATTCAAAAATATATTAACAATATATGTTGGCATTAATAAAATTGTACAATGAAACATACATGATAAATCTCTTTATGTTGCTTCTTTATTTATTAACCTTTGTATTAATAACCTTATTTATCAACTTCTATCCCATTTAGTAGGATCTTTGTTTATTTATAGTGCATTTTTTTTACTGTATTTATTTGTCTTAACTTACTGTATATTCAGTGTGGCTTTCACAGTTTGTTTACAGTCTGATGCAATGATATGATGCAAATGGGCGTCTCCTATTAGAGGTGTGAATGACTGTTGAGTCTTTGCTCCCTGAGCTGCTCTGGTGGTGCACAGAGCTCCGCTTGCCCCTTAAGGGCCATTGCATAAGCAAACTAATTGTCACTCTGCAATTATGTAACGTGCAAAAGTAATATATTTGAGTATCAACTGCACACAATACAAAATTAAAACATCTATGTTGTTTTTCTATTTGTTGGTTAGTGGCTTTGAAAAAGTTTTGCTTTCTCTTCTGTGAAGGAGAGTTGCATACAGCTCAAATTTAAAGTAAAAAAATATTTCGATGCTGACCTGATTCACAATAAAAACTAAGCATCAAAATGTCCAGCAGATTTTCCTTTTTAAATAGCTGGCAGTTGTGTTATGTGGAGCACGGTCTCCTTTCCCAAGATTCCCAGCCTGCTGGTGAAACACCCCTGTGCTAGGAATGTTATAATCAGGGTTGGGAGGGTTACTTTAAAAATGTAATCCAGTACAACTCCTAATTTCTTGTTAAAAAATGTAATCAGTAATGTAATCCAAGTACCAGGAAATAAAAGTAATGTAACCTGATTACTTTAAGTTACTTTTGGATTACGTCAATACCAAATACGCAAATAAAGACGAGAGAGTATCAAAGATGTGTATTTTTAGAGAAACAACTACTGGTCAAAGCTCACTCTGCCCGTACTGGGAACAGGTGTTGTCCTTTCTCCAGGATTATTCCAGCTCTGTGTCCTTTCACTGTGGAGCCTAAGTGTGGGCTGGTGGGAATAAGTTTCTGTTGTTGTCATCTCTGGTTAAAACCGTAGATGGTTTCTGTAGTCTGCAATTTTCCTGGCTATCCTTTCATACTCCCGTACCTGGGGGTGTTCATCCCAAAATGATTAGCAAGATGTCTGTGAAGGTTCTCAGTCACCCAGGTCATAGTTATCCAAAGAAGGTTAAAGTCAAGGGCAACTGGTACAGATATGTGGACGACACCTGGTTCAAAATTAAAACCCAGGAACACATCAACTCCGTGGACAGTAACATCAAGTTCACACAAGAAGATGTCCAAAACAACAACAGTTTGGCTTCCTGGACAGTGCTGTACACATTGAAGAGGACAAGAGCAAATTGGAGTGTACAGGAAACCCTCACACACACGGATCAAAACTTACTTTTTGATTCCCACCACCCACTGGAGCATAAGCTAGGGGTCATGAGAACACTGCACCACAGAGCGGACAACAGACCAACAAGAGAGAAGGAACAGAACAACCACTACACAAACGCATGGCTCAACACAGAAGGGCCAACTCCTCAGGTCAAGACTCTGCAGTCTACTTACATCTGAAGGACAGAGGACACTTGTTTGAGGACCACCAGGTGCACATTTTAGATGGATGGTTTGAAAGAGGTGTCAAGGAAGCCATCTACACCAGGGTTGAGCAGCCATTTCTGAACTGAGGAGGGGGTCTACACCACCATTTATCCCTCACTTACAACGTGGTCCTTCCATCACTTGCCAGGAAACTCAACAAACGTAACCTATTGGCCTCAGGTGAAGATACCAACGATGGTCGTTCAGTCTTGGCCTCGGGGTGGTTCTAACGACCATAATGACTGTCGTTACAACAACCAGGAACACTAACGAACCAGCGGTATCGACGATCCTGGCAAACGACCCCACTGAGGTTAAATAGCGGAGTTTCCCTACCAGTCAGTCAGAACTGTAAAGTCTCTCTGATGAAGGACGAAACATCTTCTAGTATCTTCGTCCAAGTCCAGCTGCCCTTGACTTTAACCTTCTTTGGTAGTATTCCCAGTGGTCAAACTGGCCTCTGTCGGTCTCGGAGGCTGTGCTTGGACCAGGGTCCCGCTGCCGTGTTTACTCACTAAGAGCTGGAATCAGTCCAAATAGAGTCTGCATGACGCGTAGGGGTGTAACCACATTCAACTACTGGCTACACGGCAATCAATATCTGGGACAGATCCCTCACTAGCTGTGTGTATTTACAGGAAACACATAAATAGCAAATAGCACTCCGCTTTCAGTTTCATGGAAACTTTGTGCTTAAAGTAATTCCTATGTGTAATCCCCATTTTTACAAAATGTACCATTGCGTCTACAGTTACTTAAATTTTCTATCCTGATTACTTAATGCCGTTACGTGTAAAATAAACTACCCAGCTCTGGTCTTGACGGAGCCTAATACGTGCAGGCATTCAGTGGGATTTTAAGAACGTTCCTAAGACGGTGATTTTCCACAATACTAATCGGACTGCAGTTTGTAGCTATCCACTTGGCAATGGTAATTGTTTTCTTGTCTTTCTTTTGTTTATCTGTACTTCTCCCACACGCTGCATCAAAGTAGTCTGTAGTCTCCCTCCACTGTTTCTTTGGGTGGGTGATTTGCTGGCTGATCAACATCCCACCCCTCATGTGACCCATGGCTTGACTTTATGTGTATTCAGAGCCAGTGAGCAACAGACTTAGGCCTATGTAATAATAATAATAATAATAATAATAATAATAATAATAATAAATAATAATAATAATAATAATAATAATAATAATAATTACTGCGTTAATGCAGTGGTCTGCCAATTGCCGACCACTGCACTAGAGGTTCATGAGACCTTGTGAAGACAATTAAACGTTGAGGTAAATTTAAAAGACATGACCTGGGAAAAAAAGGAAAAAAGGCTTTAAAAATCCCGCACTGGCAGCAGACAAAGAAGAATGGACAATTTGGTCGCAGAGATTCCTAGGGGCAGAAATCTTTGAAGGCAGGAAAGTTCAGGAGAGTGTCTGATAGTAGAGTAATGTCTTAGAAAGTCTATTTGTATTTAATCATATATATTTCCACAATGTCAACACTCTGCTCAATGTCATAAGCAGCTATACAATCTTATAATTCCTAAGCATTAATTATGGGGAAAGGAGAAGATATTCTTACCACTCTTAAAGATCAACACTGTGTACTCTTGTTACAGTTGAACAACACAATTCATTCTTATCATGGCAGATGGTTGAACAGGCTTACTTAATAAGTTCTAAGACAATACACATCCTAACAGCTAAACAATTGTTAATAGTTAAATAGTAAATTAGTTGAAACACAACATCACGTTAAATAATACACAATAACACTGACAGTAAATATAGATAAATAAACAAAGAAATCATCAAGTTCAGAGCAGCTCCTAGTTACACCAAGACCTGTGATAATTTGCTCTCAACATAACTTCTACTGATAAACAGGACAATAGTAAAAATACCAAAAAGAGGAGAGAAACACTAGCTAAAAGTTTGACAAAGACTATTTAACTGAACAAGAAAAACAAATAGGTTTGTAGTGAGACTTGTTCTCTCTTTGTAATACAAAGAAATGAGTTGGGTCCCTTTTGTCCTTTGGAGGGCACTGTGGCTCCATGATGAGAATGTGGCATTAAATCTAATTAGTTTTGTAATTCATATCCCATTCAATTCTTAGTCTAGAAGCGTGAGAAATGATATGACAAGAAAGAGTGACATTCTGTACAATATTATTTAAACAGTTTTCATATTTGCAATTTGGTGACTATAGATTTTGAAACAGTGGAATGGAAGAACCTGGGAGTATCTTCTTCAAAGCGCCAGGCCTGTAGACTTTGTGACCATTTCTGCCAGCCTAATCAGTTTGACACTCTAATGCAAGGAGAGAACAAAAGGACTCTTTCTTTTCATTTGGGTTTGTGTGTGTCTAGGTCCATTTTGGAGGCATCAGTTTATGGTGGTTGTGTCAACCCAGAGGCTGATAAACCTTTAGTTCATAGGAAGGTTAGGACCCCTGGAGAGTGTTAAACGGACACTTTAATAGTTGTAAAGTAAAGTCAGTTACTTTATGTCCACAGAAGGTTCGGTTGCACTGAGTAGAACAAAATTCATTTAGCAGACCTCGTTACAACCCCAACTACTTTGGATTTGGGTTTGAAGGGCCTTCAGTCAGACAGGGATCTTGGTGTGAAAGACTCCCCTCGATGCCACGTTGCCATCTTTTCATGCGTTTCCCCATTATTCTCCTTCGATTTTACCTAGTGTTATTATCCTGTTAATGCATTAATTACATTTACATTTATTCATTTAGCTGATGCTTTTTCCAAAGCAACTTACAATTGCTATATATGTCAGAGGTCGCACGCCTCCGGAGCAATGAGGGGTTAAGTGTCTTGCTCAGGGACACAATGGTGGATGGGCCACAGTGGGGGCTTGAACCCAGGTCTCTCACACCAAAGGTATGTGTCTTATCCATTGCGCCAGATTTATATGTTAACCTGTGGCTCAGAAAGTGCCTGTTATGATGTTATGATCAAGCTAGATAAAAGGTAATTCTCTGGCAGTGGCAAATAGCTTTGGTTTGATATTTGATTTGATCACATTAATGTTTAAATTGAGATTTACAAGATATATTTTATTGCCACTGTGTAAAGGGAATACTGCTGGTAAAAAGCACCTTATTTGTTTAAAGAGTTTGCAAAGCACATTCAAATCTGCAAGCGTACTGCAATTTGCAAATCCGTAAATGCCTGCAGAGATCTGTAAATGTGTAGACACATTTATAAATTCACATAGATATTAATGGCTAAAAATTCTAAATATTTAGCTCCAAGAGCTGGAAATACAGACAACTCTGGCAGACCTAGAAGTATTTACATGCGACTTTTGCTATACTTCTGCCATTGCAGAGATCAGCAGCATGTGACGATATGAAAATGTGTGTGGAGATTTGTATGTGTGCTTCACTATCTATACAGCCTACATACCACCAGTCAGCAGCAGCACCCAGTGATGTACTGTATATACTGTATATTTGCATAAACAAAGGGCCTTCCACACGATTCCTCTGCATTTAGAAAAAAGGGCACGAATGTGGAGCACACATATGGTAACAGTCACACACCTCTGGATCCAGACAGAAGGAATGTGGGGTGCTGTGATTATGCAAAAGTCCACAGCTGGGCACTGCTGGGATGAACGTACGTATTGTGTGAAGTGGCATAAATGTTCAAACATTTCCCAGCTCAAGGGGGAGCTCATATCTGTGAACCCTTCCCCCTTTATGATAGGGACGTAGGCGGAGTGGGAGGCCTCAGCAGCCGGACCCTCCTGATAGCGTATGATTGGGGGGGAGCTGGCTGGCTAAGGGCGAGAACCTCAGCCATCTCATCCTGAGCTGTTCCTGAGCTGGCAGGACGAGCAGGTGCTTGTGTGTGGCAGCCCTCTGCACGATGGGCAGGAGCTTCTTAAGGAGGCTGCGAATAGATTACAGAGAGGTGGTGGTGGAGAGGGAAATCCTGAAGTACCCCCGGAAGTAACCTCTTGCTCTGGAGTTGCTGAGTTCGGGACCAGCGTCTTCCATGGGCAGGAGCTGGGCAAGAGGAGAGCTGTACGAGGGCCCGTGAATGGAAGGCAGAATTGCTCTTCAGGCAGCAGGAACTCCAACGCTTCATCCAACGAGTGGGTGGGCTGTAACACCTCCTCGTCCTGCACAGCCCAGTTTTCCGCTTGCCGCTGCTTCTCCTTTGGGGAGTCGAGAGCTCATTATAGACAGCTTGCAAGCCTCACACCGGGGATGGAGATCTCCGGGCAGGATGCAGCCCGTGCGGAAGAGACTGCACACCTGCATGGTGTCGCCGTCATCATGCCCCACTCTGACGGTTTTTCAGGAAAAATTTTCTTCCCTTCTTTGGTTGGTCTTTAGTTGGTCTTTAGTTGAGTAGTGAAGAAAAAATTTAAGCCCACTACCAGGTCTCACGACTACTTTTACACAGGATGACACCGTAGTTGTGGCCCAACCCCGCTGGTGGGCGTATTCAAAGCTATTCAGTGCTGCACATGCACACAAGGGATAAACCCACTAGTGATAGCCTTAGGCCCCATTCACACAACTGCCTTTTTGTTTTATTACGAAGACCTTTTGCTACATTTTCACTTCCTGTCCAGACTAAAATGGCGAAAACAAAGACCTAAAACAGAGAAGTTTGAAATTGCTGCCGACCCCGTTTTCATTTTAAAACTCCTAAGAGCGTTTTAGTGCGGACAGGAAAAAATGGTGGACTTTAGAAACGATGACGCAGACACTCACATTTGGCTCTCTGATTGGGTCTCATAAGTCATGCAAAGCAGAAACACAATGCTACTGACAGTTTTTGACTTGGTATTTTAATAAAAATATTTTGTACTGTGCAAAGAACACTTATAGCCTACACTTACATGTTGCCGTATTTACTTTGCGATGACTCCCAGTCTGTTTTCCGCTGCCACAGTCGCTTTTAACTCCTGTGTTGTATTCAGTAACAGTCCCAGCTCATTATCGGTCCATGCAAAATAAAATCTTGTGTGGTTCTTCATCTGTAGTGCTTTATTCTTTCGCCAAATCTTCTGTGACTGCAGAATAGATTATCTGCTTCATGTTTACACCGGCACACGCATGCCCTGTGAACATGAACGGCCACTAGATGTGCGTTTTAATATAGACGGAGATCAACTCTGAAATGCTGGAGTGGATGGAGATTGTATTTGCATTAAACAAAAACAGAGTAGAGTCGATGGGGCCTTAGAGGGCAAACCCTATACGAAATGGAACAGGCAACATTTGTCTGTTAATGGTGACAGATTGACAATTTACAGTAGTAAACAATATGGGATAAAAACATTTTGAGGTAGTTTAAGCTTCTTGTAAAGATAAAGAATTTTTATTTAGAATTAAAAAATACATCTACTGTTCATTAACAACTCAATGAACTGTACACATTTAATATTTAACAAGCACATCTGGGGTTTCAATGAAGAGTATAGCCTTATTTCATTGCAGTACCAGTTCTTGCCTTAATTGAATGTAATTTTTTACCAGCACATTAGCTTTGGGCCAAATGTTAAATAAACAATTAAATTAAGAAAACAACATTGTCAGTATATTATAGCAGTGCTATGCTTGTGACATTGCACGTGTTATTCCACACCAATATGCAGAAGATTTCCTGGCACAAAGGCAACAGACTGTGATTTTATTATAGGACTTAAATGTAGTGTTCTGTTAATAGTTTTCTAATAACTGTAGCAACTTCTGGTTTGTCCAGACCACATCCTGGTTAAGCCCACCCGTTCAGAGTATGGATAACTTGTTAACCAAATCATGAAAAACCTAAAAACTAGTCACTACTTCAGTGTAGATTAAAATAGTAACTCATCATTACCCTACACAGTCACTGATTCAGTCTCTGTTACCAAACAAAGCAGCACTAGACTTTACACTAAGCCAGCTACAATTAGCAGCAAGAGGCAACAAAAATGCCATGTTACAGTTTCAGTCACCATATTGTTTCAGGGAAATTTACATTTAGAAAATGTCAAACGTGACTTCCTAGGACTTCTCATTATTGAAACTAGAAAATTAACATGACCATGCAAAGATCGGTTTGTTTGATACCACACTATTTTCTCTCTGGTTTCAAAACTGACTATGTTTGTTCCATCAGCTTGTACAATATTTTCCCAGGGAATTTAAGTTTGTTATACAAAACAGTTTCGGTTTATGTACTGATTTTTACAACAACTGGGAGACCTTTTGAATTAGTTGTAAAATAAATTGTATGTGTTGAATCATATATTGATGAAGGACTCAGTTGAACCAGTGCTGTTTGAGTTTGCGGCTTCAGACACACGGTAGATATCTGAAAGAAAAATAAATTGTATCAGACTGCTAATTCCAATAAACAGAAAAGCTACTAACCAAAACAACAGCTTACTTCTTCTTCTGTGAAATCGACTCATCCAGTTTAGTCCACTGAGAGAACGCTATAGTAGAAACAAATGAATATGTTTAAAATGAAGTGATTGCAGGCAAAAATTGTTATTTAATGTAATCATTTCTGTACAGGAAGTCCAAAGTCCATGCAATAGTTTTAGGATGTTAAAAATCACTTACTTTTGTTGGATTAGAGTCTGTGCTTGATGTAAGTAATTTCCTTGAGAGGATAGAAAGGATCTACAGGCACAATCAAGTTCATGTCAAAAACAATAGTATTTAACTACTGCAATTTGGGAAATATTTAGCAAGACATTTTAAGAAATAGACTTTTTTTCGCTTTCTTGGCAAGAGTTAAAATTTGAAGATTGATTCCACTCTATATACCACTTATGTAGAACATTAATCCGGACTTCCACATGGAACGTCTGAGCCGCGTTCCGGCTGTGCTGCGATTTTGCTCTATCCTCAGGACTTCCACTGCAAGCATTTCAGAAGCGTTTCAGGAGCCGAGTACGTTGTTTGCTTGTCGTTAAATTGTCCTTTTTGTGCTTCTACTAGGCCTGTTGAGAGCAGCTAAGTTTAGATTGTGTTGATTTGGTAATTAGTGCTTGATAGTTGTGCTTCTACAATGGTTAATTAGGCTACATAGTTAAATGGTGTATTTTAACTGTGTTTATTGATGATTTACAATCGGGAGTCTGCACAGGGTGTTCTACTTTGAAAATTGACCAGATTCTCTATGCCTTTCTGTGCCTGACCTTCTACCCGATTCAATCTCTTCTGTGCAGCTTGATGCAGCTTCCGTCAAAAATAGGAACCACAAGCATTGTCTAGAATGGCCACAATACTGCTGCCGCCGTGCCATGTGGAAGTTGCAGGTAAGTCATTATGGAGTATTTTTACATTTTGGTATTGTTATCTTTACTACAACTGCTAGGATTTGAATTCTTCCTCCACTACTGCCAGTCATATTAATCTTCTCATTTAACTCTCAGCAAAGAAGCAGTAAATTTCAAAAAAATTTAAAATATTTTTTGACATACCTTTGAATCAAATAGTGTCCCAAATACTAAAATGAAGACTCCCTGAGGAAAGACAGATGTACAATTCTTTATCATTGAAAAGAAAAACACCAAATGTTTTATTACACAAAAACATTGCCTTCAAAGTACAACCTTGTATGCAAATGGATGGATGAAATTACCTGTAGTGAATTGAAGAATGCAAAGGCAATGTGAATTCCTTTATTTGTTGACGATACCATGGTTCCCACTCCCAAAGACCAGGTCAGTCCAAATAAAGGAGTCAAAATCACCAGACACCTTGTAATGACCACCAGCGTGTGCTTTTCTTCTGTATGGGCTGCATCCCCCACACCTCTTCTCAGCATTTTGAACAAGACCACAATTACAATAAAAATATTAATGAAAACTATGGTCAAGGCAGGTATTACCAAGCCCAGCAGGGCTTTTGTCTCAGTCCAGTTGAGCCAACAAGCATCCGATCTTTTGATGTATCCTTTTCCTGGTGCTGTAACAGCGATCGTAATAACGGCTATAATTAGAGGACACCCGTAGCCTAAACTGAAGCCAATGGCCAACATGGTTGACTTAGACATGTGGGAGAAGACCATGACTGTCCGATAAAGGAGCAGAAGGCCTGACGCAAGCATCCAAAAGAACAGAGCAAGGTAGAAAAAGTGCGTAAAAAATGTTGCTGTGCTGCATGGCCCAACTGGGTTTTCAAGGGTGTTCTTGGCAATAGAGGCATCAATGATGAAACAGATGTCAGCGATCAACAGAGACAGGGCAGTGTTAACGATGGAAACATGGCGCATGAAAGCAGTGCTATTTCTCGTAATGGTTTTCCAAACATATCCTTCAATTATGAGACATATAACTAGGCTTGCCAGAGATATCCCTACTCCAATGTAAGTGATTATATCCAAGGCATCTTTCAGTTCTGGAGGGACGTCCGTTGCCATCAGAATTGAGAAGGAGGTGGAATGGTTGCAACTGCAGGTTACGATGTTGTTTATGTCAGAAACAAACTTACACCCTTTATCATCCCAAGCACCCAGATTATCATAGAGCGTGAAGTTCCAGAAGACGCACTGAGGGTTTAGTGACAGGGATTTGTTTAGCTTGCCATAGCTCAGAGTGACTTTCGGAATTGTTGCATTAATTTGGACTAGCACCACAGCAGCATTGATGGTATTATTGATGACAGTTTCATTGCTGGTGGTGTTGAAGAGGCTGGTGTCAAAGCTGGAGTTCCGTGCTGGCATAACATTACTGAGGTTGGTGAAGGTGATGGTGGTGATAAAGACGTTGTTAATGTTGGTGTTTGGGATATCTATGACAATGCTGGAGCTCAGATCTGCCCTGAAGGAGTTGTTAAACGCGGTTCTGTTGAGCCGGATCTGTTCAGTCTTAATGGCAAACTCCCCGACCAACCCATCAGACAGAGCCTCCAGTGAACCCAGTAATACTGAGCTTGCATTGCTGGTTTTATTTGAATTAAGAACTACCCAGGACTCTGCTGTATCATTACCAATGATGAAATCAACAGTGTTAAGTATATCCTGCAAATGAAGAGACATTTGATTGTGAGAGTACAGCCTCATGAGAGAGTCAGAAAGTACATTTGTTGACACAACACATACATCCTTTACTAGGAGGCTACGGTAGAGAAGATTTAACCTACCTGCATGACAGATTCATTGACAACAGTGGAAACATTTGCTATGTTGTTTAAGATGTCAACAATAGCTGATATGGTTGCAGATGACTCCGCAACATTTTTGTCCTGGACAGTTTTATATAGATTTCCCACAAATTCAGGCACTTCCTTCTCAGTCAAATCCTGAAAGAATGAAGCACGCACACAAAACACAAACCGTTTTGACACTACATTTTATGCATTTGAGATTGCAAACTATTCATGGCAAATGCAGAGATTTCTACGGGGTCACCAGAAACACTTGCCCAGTCCTTCAATGTTGGGTATATCCAGAGTCCAATACCATATTTACTTTAATGTTGATTACATGTATCAAACCCATTGACGTAACAGCTGTAGCTACTAAATCTGACATTCTTTCACAAGCTTCTTCATGCAAATACTGAAGGTTCTGATTCAAATCTCTGAAGATGATACACTGAAACTATTCATATGATATGAATAAAAGTTTAACTGGGAGATCACTTTGTTTCACTGTTGGAATTTTTGGAACTACAAAAACACTAGTCCACTTGTGATAGTAGCTGTGTTACAGAGAGGAGTTTTTTCCCTCACACATGATATGTGGCTGTGTATAGACAACAGACAAAAATATTGGCTTCTCATGAAATTACTAAATTAATTACCATTAATCAGTGACAGCTGACATGACATGTCACCTGTGACATTTGTCACTCTAACAATGAGAAGCTGCAACAGTACCTGGATATTTAATAAACTGCTTTTTGCTAACAGGAAAAAGAGAGGAGATATAACGGATTTGGTGGCATCAGAGCTCAGCTGATCTGTATATTTAGTTCGAACTCAATTGTTCACACTCACACACTTAAATTTCACAATTTTGGTGACATAGCATTACTGATTTGGTGTGAATAAGTAATATTTGTCTGTATGGTATACTGTATGTTTCAAAAATTTTCTGATGGGGTTGATTTGTTATACCCAGATCACCTACCTTTGAAAAAATTAATAATTCCTTGATATTTGTTATGATGCAGGTGTCCTCCCAAAGTTTCCACTTTCCTGTTTCCTGACAGACTGCAGACTTGCGCCCCTCTTGACCTTTATCACATCCTATGCTTGATATGTCATGTGCTCGTCCAGTCCCATACACAGTATCATTACATGTCACATCTTGAGAGTGAAATAGTCAGTGTTAAAGAAATAAAAAGTAAAAAGGAACAATACATTTCAAGTGTTGCTCTTACCTTCTCTGAAAATGGTCATTGCTGTTGTCATTTCATAACCCTGTGGATTGTCTACCTTACATGTGAAATGTATTTCTGTTGGCTTTGATCCGGTGCAGCTTTCTAGCTTGTAATCATGGATGATGCAGTGATTTTCTTCTGTATCACTAGGATCTGCGAACAGCATTATTTAGATAAACTATTAATGGCTGTGTCCAACTTCTCAACAGATAGAGGAGTTTTCAATGTCAGTTCATACTTACTAAATTGTAAAACAGTTGTGTTTTGAAACCACTTCACTTTATAGGAGGACTGCACGCAACACTGAAGTTTTTGTATCTTTCCCTCTTCGCATTTAACATTAACTTTACTCTGTAGCCTCAGAATGGGAGCTTGTTTGATTTCATTTCCTGTTAAAACTCCTTCTTGAAGGAATTCCATTACTTTGCTCCTCAGAGTACATTTGTAACGTCCTGTGAATAAGATAAATAAGTGTTAATGATTGCATTGGTATACTGTAAAATGAAGAAAAATGGATAATTGTAAATATATCAGTATTTCCCTATAGCTGTGACTCAACATTCTGATACTGATACATTGACAATATTTGTACATGACTGTTGGTGCTTTCAGTACATTTAATGTAAGTTGCAGTAGCAACAATGGTCTCCTATTTGTAATATGGATATAATGATGAAAAAGGCAGAATGAGTCATGTCTCTGTCACCTTCAAAAGTCAATTCAGAGAATTGTCACTTTAAACAGGAAAAGACAAAGTTCACGTTTTTTCACAATATTCTGGAAATTAACTCATTTCACAGTATCATGGAATGTAGAACCCAGCTTTATGCTTTACACTTGAGTAACTACTGTATTATCCAAATTGTTTAATGATTTCTTGGTTCCTGATTTCAACTAGCTGTGACTTACCAATATCTGGAAGGATGGTGTTTTTAATTGTAAGCATAGACGTCATGTTAGAAAGAGTTATTTTAATCCTTTCATTGTCGTTAATTTCCAATTCTTTAAATTTCCACTCAAAACCCAAAATTTGTCCCACATTAATGTTTTCAGGAGGGGGGCCACACGTCAGCGTCATGGGGCTGCCAGTATAAGTGAGTTTTGGAAAGGTGATTGGAGTTGAACCTTTGAAGAAAGTTAGAGATCGGTTAAGAATTCAATGAAGTTAAAACAAAAAGTAATAAACTTCTAGCTTTTTTGAACTTACTGTTGTAAAATGCAGTAACTGAGCCAATGACAGGGGCAATAGGCCGCATTGCTTCTACGAGATTTGAATTTGCTTTAGCCACTTCATTCGGATTAACTTGTGATGTCTGAACAACAAAGTCTATAATTATGCTTCCTTCTCTGTAAGAAAAAACAAAAGCCTGAGATGTGAAGTAAAATGTGTAGGTATTTAGGTAGGTACTCTAAATGTTTTTAATGCCAGAATTATCATACCTCAATCCCGTCACAACAACATCGATAAACCCTGTTATTCCTTTATACTGCTCCATTAACTGTGGGAGAGACATGGTTAAGGATGTTAGCATAAGAATACGAAGAACTTAAAATACAAGTTTGAATTGTATGGTCTTAACAGTGTACTTACGACTGAATTAATCCTTGATTTAAGCTCCTTGTATGTAGAACTTTCTGTATTATTTAATTCTGCTGTGTATTCCTTGTTTAATTTGATTGACATTTCCACTTTGAATCCTGTTTATTTAAAAAAGATGAAAAACATGAGCAAAGCTATACATTATCAAGTGATACACATTAATTACCCAGACTGTGGCAACCAGCCACAGTTTCATAATGAACTGAAAATATTTCTACACTTCTCATAATAAGATAAATAGGGAGCCGCCCCGGGGTCAGCTGATTAAAAAAAAGGCATGGGTAAATTTGTACTCTCATTTGCAAATCTCATACTTAGGCACTGAATATTATTTCCCCAGCGCCTTCGCCAAATGAAAAGGGGGGGGGGGGGAAACTATGCTCAGAGTTCCATACCATATTTTGCTGTCATTAAGGTTGCACTAGCATCTCTGTCCTCTCTGTGTGCTTGACCGAAGACAGGGCTCAGCTACTACACACACACACCAGACAGCAGAGCAGAAATCGGTCGCGGTGGAGACATTGAACCAGGTGAAGTGAAGGTAACGTTATAAAAAATAGAAAAGCGATCAAACATTTGCTTTGTCCACACTACACTTGTTACAGTGTTCATACAGACATTACAAAATGAAATTCAAAGACTTTCAGGTGCTTTTTTAAGCACTATTTTTTTCCTTTTGAAGGCCTAAATGTAAGGTTTTATTAAAGAACAGTGCAGAGTGAGGGTAACAGATGACGTAACACCTACTGAAATGCCTCCACAACTGCCAGAATCAACCAGATGAGATTTGCAAAGAGCCACCCTTGGTCTATCTGAATTTAATTCCAACAAGTAACATGTTCACTTTCTCAGGTTTTTAGCCCTTATGCATGGCAGCTTCAGTCAGGATTTTTGTGTTTTTATTGCTCTTTAGGCATGAAAAACAAAACTTGAAATAGCTAAAAACTCGGGTGGACAACATGTGTTTGAGTTTTCAACTGAAGAAATATGTATTTAACAAACTAATGAATTCAGTTATATATTGTGTGAAAACTACATTTTCATGCTGTTAAACTAATGTGCACATATTTTATATAACATATTCTAATACTGTTCAATGCTAAAACCTCGCTCCTGACTCCTGGGCCTCTATCCTCTCTCCTTCTACTCCTTGATCCTTACTCTTGACTCCTCAGCCCCTCCCTACCTCCCCGCGTTGAACAGTATATTTGTCCAATTAACATTTTCTACAAAAATATATAATAATATTGTCTATGGCAATGAAAATTGGCAAAGCACCCAGAGCTCAAAGCCACAAGACATTGTACACAGATGTACTTTGTTTGCATTTTCTGTTTCGGTAGCTTGGACCAGTGGTTTCCAGGGCCAAACCTTATCGGAGGGGTCCTCAAATCTGTTTGCTACCAAATCAAGACGAAGCCCTTCCTCTGAAAAACCAGTACATTCTTGATCTTGGGTATCTGAGGTATAATATGGCAATATTAATTCCTACAAATATCTTTGTGTATTTCATTCATCAGATCGTTGGGAAATAGATGCATAAAGAAATCTATTGGTTCTGTTCCCTCAACATTCACTTTCCACACTAAAAAAGCAGGTAAGTCTTCCTCAAACTGGTTGTTCAGCATCCTTAGCTCCACTATCACTACTCAATTAATCAATTGATACACCTTTCAAAAAGTTACTGCAGATTAAGTATTTTTAATAATAACAAAGTTGCAGTAATAGTGAATTGTGGTAGCCAGCGATGCATGATATCCAAAATTAATTAAATTTAAAAATTTAATTTTGACAGAATGTGAATTGAGCATAATTAGCTCATACCTTTGTATTTGTGAAGAAGCCAAAACGTTTATCAAGCTTGCATGATAAAAGGGAATTCTTTGAGGCTGCACTTGTAAATTAAGCTATTTAAAAGAAGTAAGCATACTTATTTTTTTCATAAATAAGTGAAGAGTAACTGAGTTTCCATTGCTTCTTCCTTGACTCAATGCAGCAATCCTTTGTGGTAAAAATAACATCAAGTTTGAGTTTGAAAATGTATAATAAGTTATAATTTGGATAAAGGAATAAAGGAAAGGGTGCGGTGGATTTATAACGCAAAACAAAGTGTTATTGTGAAATAGCATGTGTCACAATAATTGTTTTATTTCGATGAACAAAATTTAAATTGTGATCCAAATAAAATAAATTGCACAGCCCTAGTGGTGTGTGTCTGATTAAAGGTAAGTACAATTAGCATCATGTTTGAGTTTGAAATTGTATACAAATATTAGCCACCAAATGGCACAATGCCAACAGTGGTGTTCATCTGATAAAAGGTGAATGTAATCCATAATGTAAGATATCAGTTGGATGGATCATAGGGCGATCCATAGGGCCTCCTTACCCCATTTTGTCAATGAAACAATACCTGTAACAGTTGTAGAAGTAGGTGGTGTTGTAACTGCACCTGTAGTAGTAGTAGTTGCACTGGCTGTTGAAAGGGTACTCGGAGCATTTGTGCTGGCACTGGTCTCAGTGGGAACAGTGTTAGTAGCCTTGGTACTGGTAGTTGTTGTGAAGGCTGTGGTTGGAGCTGGGGATGGGGAAACATCTGATGTTGTGGAGCCAACTGTTAAATGTTACTATAGTTAATAGATCTTTATAAAATAAGTGAACATGCTGTCCTCACAAATTATGTAGATGCATTTCTTCTCTTTTCCTGCCCCAAATTACATTTATGATTTTGAACTTCCCAGACATCATGCTCAGGGACTGCCAGAAGAAATCAATGGACTCTGAAGTTATACATTGGGTAAAGTTATAATTAAGGCTTTTTAATTAATGTTTCACTTTCTAGTGCCTGAAAGTCACAATTCTTTCTGTCCTCGTCTATGCCTATACCGAAGAGCAACTTAAATTCCGTTGCTTCGTCCTTCACCCAATGCAACAATCCTCTGTAGTACAATTAGCATCATGTTTGAGTTTGAAATTGTATAGAAATATTAGCCACCAAATGGCACAATGCCAACAGTGGTGTTCATCTGATAAAAGGTGAATGTAATCCATAATGTAAGATATCATTTGGATGGATCATAAGGCAATCCAAAGTGCCTCCTTACCCCATTTTGTCAATGAAACAATACCTGTAACAGTTGTATTAGTAGGTGGTGTTGTAACTGCAGGTGTAGTAGTAGTTGCACTGGCTGTTGAAAGGGTACTCGTAGCATTTGTGCTGGCACTGGTCTCGGTGGGAACAGGGGTAGTAGCCTCGGTACTGGTAGTCGTTGTCAAGGCTGTGGTTGGAGCTAGGGATGGGGAAACATCTGATGTATTAGAGCCAATTGTGGTATTTTGGCTGGTTAAACTAGTAGCTGAAAATGTAACAGTTTAAATGTTACTATAATTAATAAATCTTTATAAAATAAGTGAACATGCTGTCCTCACAAATTATGTAGATACATCTCTTCTCTTTTCCTGCCACAGATTACGTTTAGGATATGGAACTTCACAAACATCATGCTCAGGGACTGCCAGAAGAAATCAATGGACTCTAAAGTTATACATTGGGTAAAGTTATAATTAAGGCTTTTTAATTAATGTTTCACTTTCTAGTGCCTGAAAGTCACAATTCTTTCTGTCCTCGTCTATGCCTATACCGAAGAGCAACTTAAATTCCGTTGCTTCGTCCTTCACCCAATGCAACAATCCTCTGTAGTACAATTAGCATCATGTTTGAGTTTGAAATTGTATAGAAATATTAGCCACCAAATGGCACAATGCCAACAGTGGTGTTCATCTGATAAAAGGTGAATGTAATCCATAATGTAAGATATCATTTGGATGGATCATAGGGCAATCCAAAGTGCCTCCTTACCCCATTTTGTCAATGAAACAATACCTGTAACAGTTGTATTAGTAGGTGGTGTTGTAACTGCAGGTGTAGTAGTAGTTGCACTGGCTGTTGAAAGGGTACTCGTAGCATTTGTGCTGGCACTGGTCTCGGTGGGAACAGGGGTAGTAGCCTCGGTACTGGTAGTCGTTGTCAAGGCTGTGGTTGGAGCTAGGGATGGGGAAACATCTGATGTATTAGAGCCAATTGTGGTATTTTGGCTGGTTACACTAGTAGCTGAAAATGTAACAGTTTAAATGTTACTATAATTAATAAATCTTTATAAAATAAGTGAACATGCTGTCCTCACAAATTATGTAGATACATCTCTTCTCTTTTCCTGCCCCAGATTACGTTTAGGATATGGAACTTCACAAACATCATGCTCAGGGACTGCCAGAAGAAATCAATGGACTCTAAAGTTATACATTGGGTAAAGTTATAATTAAGGCTTTTTAATTAATGTTTCACTTTCTAGTGCCTGAAAGTCACAATTCTTTCTGTCCTCGTCTATGCCTATACCGAAGAGCAACTTAAATTCCGTTGCTTCGTCCTTCACCCAATGCAACAATCCTCTGTAGTACAATTAGCATCATGTTTGAGTTTGAAATTGTATAGAAATATTAGCCACCAAATGGCACAATGCCAACAGTGGTGTTCATCTGATAAAAGGTGAATGTAATCCATAATGTAAGATATCATTTGGATGGATCATAAGGCAATCCAAAGTGCCTCCTTACCCCATTTTGTCAATGAAACAATACCTGTAACAGTTGTATTAGTAGGTGGTGTTGTAACTGCAGGTGTAGTAGTAGTTGCACTGGCTGTTGAAAGGGTACTCGTAGCATTTGTGCTGGCACTGGTCTCGGTGGGAACAGGGGTAGTAGCCTCGGTACTGGTAGTCGTTGTCAAGGCTGTGGTTGGAGCTAGGGATGGGGAAACATCTGATGTATTAGAGCCAATTGTGGCATTTTGGCTGGTTAAACTAGTAGCTGAAAATGTAACAGTTTAAATGTTACTATAATTAATAAATCTTTATAAAATAAGTGAACATGCTGTCCTCACAAATTATGTAGATACATCTCTTCTCTTTTCCTGCCCCAGATTACGTTTAGGATTTTGAACTTCACAAACATCATGCTCAGGGACTGCCAGAAGAAATAAATGGACTCTGAAGTTATACATTGGGTAAAGTTATAATTAAGGCTTTTTAATTAATGTTTCACTTTCTAGTGCCTGAAAGTCACAATTCTTTCTGTCCTCGTCTATGCCTATACCGAAGAGCAACTTAAATTCCGTTGCTTCGTCCTTCACCCAATGCAACAATCCTCTGTAGTACAATTAGCATCATGTTTGAGTTTGAAATTGTATAGAAATATTAGCCACCAAATGGCACAATGCCAACAGTGGTGTTCATCTGATAAAAGGTGAATGTAATCCATAATGTAAGATATCATTTGGATGGATCATAGGGCAATCCAAAGTGCCTCCTTACCCCATTTTGTCAATGAAACAATACCTGTAACAGTTGTATTAGTAGGTGGTGTTGTAACTGCAGGTGTAGTAGTAGTTGCACTGGCTGTTGAAAGGGTACTCGTAGCATTTGTGCTGGCACTGGTCTCGGTGGGAACAGGGGTAGTAGCCTCGGTACTGGTAGTCGTTGTCAAGGCTGTGGTTGGAGCTAGGGATGGGGAAACATCTGATGTATTAGAGCCAATTGTGGTATTTTGGCTGGTTACACTAGTAGCTGAAAATGTAACAGTTTAAATGTTACTATAATTAATAAATCTTTATAAAATAAGTGAACATGCTGTCCTCACAAATTATGTAGATACATCTCTGCTCTTTTCCTGCCACAGATTACGTTTAGGATATGGAACTTCACAAACATCATGCTCAGGGACTGCCAGAAGAAATCAATGGACTCTAAAGTTATACATTGGGTAAAGTTATAATTAAGGCTTTTTAATTAATGTTTCACTTTCTAGTGCCTGAAAGTCACAATTCTTTCTGTCCTCGTCTATGCCTATACCGAAGAGCAACTTAAATTCCGTTGCTTCGTCCTTCACCCAATGCAACAATCCTCTGTAGTACAATTAGCATCATGTTTGAGTTTGAAATTGTATAGAAATATTAGCCACCAAATGGCACAATGCCAACAGTGGTGTTCATCTGATAAAAGGTGAATGTAATCCATAATGTAAGATATCATTTGGATGGATCATAGGGCAATCCAAAGTGCCTCCTTACCCCATTTTGTCAATGAAACAATACCTGTAACAGTTGTATTAGTAGGTGGTGTTGTAACTGCAGGTGTAGTAGTAGTTGCACTGGCTGTTGAAAGGGTACTCGTAGCATTTGTGCTGGCACTGGTCTCGGTGGGAACAGGGGTAGTAGCCTCGGTACTGGTAGTTATTGTGAAGGCTGTGGTTGGAGCTACGGAAGGGGAAACATCTGATGTATTAGAGCCAATTGTGGTATTTTGGCTGGTTACACTAGTAGCTGAAAATGTAACAGTTTAAATGTTACTATAATTAATAAATCTTTATAAAATAAGTGAACATGCTGTCCTCACAAATTATGTAGATGCATCTCTTCTCTTTTCCTGCCCCAAATTACTTTAATGATTTTGAACTTCACTGTTGCGGTGGCAGCCCGGCTGACGGTGAGTGCCCTGTGCTCTTTTGTTTCTTTTTCCTTCGTCTCGCACTTCTGTTTTCTGCCCCGTGTCTCCTCCCCTCTCCCTCTGTGTCCTCTCTCCCTCTCCGCCCCGGAGCCCGGCTGACGATCCGCACCTGTGTCTCGTCAACCTCCACCTCCGCCCGCCACACCTGCCAGCCATCAGCCTCGTCTTCAACAGTATTTCTACCCCGGTTCTCCACTCCATCTCCGCTTGATCGTCGTCACTCCAGTCATGGTGCCACTTCTGCGTTCTAAGCCCTCTGATACCTCGTTCTCTGACCTGTTGTCTCCCGAAACTAACCCTGTCTTTTCTCTCTCCCCGCCAGGTCCACTCACCTCCGCCATCCACTCAGTCAGCTGGGCTTGCCTACCTGCCTTCTCCCCTCGCCTCCGCGGCGTTCCCCCGGCTTCCCTCCACGCTCCTCGCCCCTCTTGCCTCGGCCTCCTGCCCCCTCTCGGTCGCCTCACTTGAGCCTTGCCAGCCCCGCCAGCTCCTCGGCCCTCCGCACCCACCGGCGTCCAACTTAACCCTTTTCACCTCCCGTCTCTCCTCTCCCTTTTTTCCCCTCAATAAACCTCTTTTGCAAACTGACAAGCATTGCGTTTGGGTCCGTTCTGTCCGAAACCACAACACTTCACAAACATCATGCTCAGGGACTGCCAGAAGAAATCAATGGACTCTGAAGCTATACACTGGGTAAAGTTATAATTAAAGCTTTTTAATTAATGTTTCACTTTCTAGTGCCTGAAATTCACAATTCTTTCTGTCCTCGTCTATGCCTATACCGAAGAGCAACTTAAATTCCGTTGCTTCATCCTTGACCCAATGCAACAATCCTCTGTAGTACAATTAGCATCATGTTTGAGTTTGAAATTGTATAGAAATATTAGCCACCAAATGGCACAATGCCAACAGTGGTGTTCATCTGATAAAAGGTGAATGTAATCCATAATGTAAGATATCATTTGGATGGATCATAGGGCAATCCAAAGTGCCTCCTTACCCCATTTTGTCAATGAAACAATACCTGTAACAGTTGTATTAGTAGGTGGTGTTGTAACTGCAGGTGTAGTAGTAGTTGCACTGGCTGTTGAAAGGGTACTCGTAGCATTTGTGCTGGCACTGGTCTCGGTGGGAACAGGGGTAGTAGCCTCGGTACTGGTAGTTATTGTGAAGGCTGTGGTTGGAGCTACGGAAGGGGAAACATCTGATGTATTAGAGCCAATTGTGGTATTTTGGCTGGTTACACTAGTAGCTGAAAATGTAACAGTTTAAATGTTACTATAATTAATAAATCTTTATAAAATAAGTGAACATGCTGTCCTCACAAATTATGTAGATGCATCTCTTCTCTTTTCCTGCCCCAAATTACGTTAATGATTTTGAACTTCACTGTTGCGGTGGCAGCCCGGCTGACGGTGAGTGCCCTGTGCTCTTTTGTTTCTTTTTCCTTTGTCTCGCATTTCTGTTTTCTGCCCCGTGTCTCCTCCCCTCTCCCTCTGTGTCCTCTCTCCCTCTCCGCCCCGGAGCCCGGCTGACGATCCGCACCTGTGTCTCGTCAACCTCCACCTCCGCCGGCCACACCTGCCAGCCATCAGCCTCATCTTCAACAGTATTTCTACCCTGGTTCTCCACTCCATCTCCGCTTGATCGTCGTCACTCCAGTCATGGTGCCACTTCTGCGTTCTAAGCCCTCTGATACCTCGTTCTCTGACCTGTTGTCTCCCGAAACTAACCCTGTCTTTTCTCTCTCCCCGCCAGGTCCACTCACCTCCGCCATCCACTCAGTCAGCTGGGCTTGCCTACCTGCCTTCACCCCTCGCCTCGCCTCCGCGGCGTTCCCCCGGCTTCCCTCCACGCTCCTCGCCCCTCTTGCCTCGGCCTCCTGCCCCCTCTCGGTCGCCTCACTTGAGCCTTGCCAGCCCCGCCAGCTCCTCGGCCCTCCGCACCCACCGGCGTCCAACTTAACCCTTTTCACCTCCCGTCTCTCCTCTCCCTTTTTTCCCCTCAATAAACCTCTTTTGCAAACTAACAAGCATTGCGTTTGGGTCCGTTCTGTCCGAAACCACAACACTTCACAAACATCATGCTCAGGGACTGCCAGAAGAAATCAATGGACTCTGAATCTATACACTGGGTAAAGTTATAATTAAAGCTTTTTAATTAATGTTTCACTTTCTAGTGCCTGAAATTCACAATTCTTTCTGTCCTCGTCTATGCCTATACCGAAGAGCAACTTAAATTCCGTTGCTTCGTCCTTCACCCAATGCAACAATCCTCTGTAGTACAATTAGCATCATGTTTGAGTTTGAAATTGTATAGAAATATTAGCCACCAAATGGCACAATGCCAACAGTGGTGTTCATCTGATAAAAGGTGAATGTAATCCATAATGTAAGATATCATTTGGATGGATCATAGGGGAATCCAAAGTGCCTCCTTACCCCATTTTGTCAATGAAACAATACCTGTAACAGTTGTATTAGTAGGTGGTGTTGTAACTGCAGGTGTAGTAGTAGTTGCACTGGCTGTTGAAAGGGTACTCGTAGCATTTGTGCTGGCACTGGTCTCGGTGGGAACAGGGGTAGTAGCCTCGGTACTGGTAGTCATTGTGAAGGCTGTGGTTGGAGCTACGGAATGGGAAACATCTGATGTATTAGAGCCAATTGTGGTATTTTGATTGGTTACACTGCTGCCTGAAAATGAAACAGTTTAAACGTGAGTATAAATACTCACAATTTTCTCAAAATGGCAGATCATTTATAGTTTCTTCACAATTTGTATTCTAATGATTCCCTATAGTGGGTTTTATTATGACATATATATTTTGCATAACATTGTTGGTTCTTGTTACATTTTTGTAATGTGGGTAGTTGAGTGCAGTCTTACGTGTGGACCCAAATACAGACAACACAACAGGAGGTAGCAGTTCAAAATAAAGTTTTATTAAAACAAAATAAATAGGTCCTGTCTCTGTTCACCTGCCCTGTTTTTTTTCTGTTATCCAGTTGTTCCCTATTTTCTGTTTTACTTTGGTAACTGTGTCCTTGTGTGTTCCCACATGCCTTACTTCCTGTTTTATTTTGTAATGTTCAGTTCTCATGTGTCCTTGTCTAGTTTTGTTTCCTGTTGTTTGATTACCTGATGTGTTTCAGCTGTGCTTCCCTCCCTGCTCGTTTGCCTGTGTACTTAAGCCATCAGTTCTGTTCAGTCTTTGTCTGTTGTTGCCTGTTCCTGCATGGTGTCTGTTTTTTTGGATTATTCCCTTGATTTTCGGATTACTCTGTCGTTTGGATTTGTTCCCCTGTTTGGATTATCTTGCCTTCTGTTTTTGGACATTCCTGTAAGTGACTGCCTTTGTTTGAATAAATCTGCAAGCTGATCTAGCCTTGTTTAGTGTCTGCATTTGGCTCCACACCTCAGCTCCCTGCCACTAAACTCAGCCTTATCTCATGACAGCTGCGGTGATACCGAGAAACTCTTGTAGGCCATAGCGATATAATCTTTAGGCTATTGTTGCCTAGAGGTTTTTACAGTAGCCTACTAACCGCTTTCAAATGTGTTTAATATTTTTTATTTTCTACCCAGTCCATTTCACACAGCCTGCCGCAGCTGTTAAAATAAATGGGTTTTAATTTTCTTATGTGAGGCTGAATATTATGAGCAGTTTGGTAGGGATATTGAAATACTAAATTTTAATATAAAACATATATACTGGGTATTTTGAACTCCCTTTGTGGTACAGGCACCAGGAGTAACACTAGGACATGACCTAAGGCATAGGACTAAGAACTGAGGTACAGAACTAAAACGCAGGACTAAGAAATAAGACGAGACAAGACAGATACTAAGTAAACTTAAACATGTGAATGAACAAAAGAAAAAACTAAGCTACGAAACACAAACTCCAAACATGACAAAATCAAATAAAACTTACAGAAACCGAGAACCCAAAACTAAACCCATGAAAACAGACTAAAACAGGAAAAAACATGAACACGAAGCCACATTCTTAACAAGTTGTTGTTGGTGTTGTAGCTGCTGTAGCAATAGATGTGAAAAGAACATGTTTTGAAATTCGAGTTCAAAAAAGTAAAATCCTTCAAGTTAAAATAAATTAAAATTTTATTTTCAAACATATCTCAATACACACAATAAAAAAACACTTCAATCAATTCAAGCCCACATCAGATGCCATACTCTAACAAACATATAATGTATTAAACACTTACTTGTTGATGTTTTGGTAACTGTTATGGTTATACCTGTTGTAGCAGCTGTTGTTGAATCTGGAAAGAAAAATGTAAAATTTTTTGTGTATTAACTGAGAGGCAACACCTGATAAAGAAATAAATTGCAAAAAAAATTCTAAAATATTGTAAGAATTATTTTATAGCACTAATTTGTCATAATTGCTGTTGGATTTCCAGTTGTTGTAGTGTTTATATCTGTTGTAAAAACGATGTTGAATCTAGGCCTGCGCAGCACTGAAAAGCTTTGTCTACACATTGTCCCACTGACACTATGCCCCCTCGCCTCTTTAAGGAAGCCTGGGAGACAATTGGCCCAAATTTCCAAAAAATCATCAATAGTAGTCTGGCAGCAGGTGTCGTCCCAAAATATTTCAAAGAAGCAGTTGTGGAACCCCTGATTTAAAAAAAGAAATCTGGATTCCTCAGTTTTATCCAACTACAGACCTATCTCGAAGCTTCCTTTTTATCTCAAATTTTAGAGAAGACTATAGTTCTACAGCTGCAGTCTTTTTTAGATGTACATGGTATTTTTGAGATTTTTCAATCTGGTTTTAAAGTATTTCACAGCACTGAAACTGCACTTTTAAGAGTTTTTAATGACCTTATTAACCACTAACTCTGGTAGTTCTACCATACTAGTGCTTTTAGACCTCACCGCCGCATTTGACATAGTAGACCATGCGGTTCTTATCTCTCGTCTAGAGCACTGTGTTGGCATCAGGGACACTGCTTTGCAGTGGTTTAAGTCCTATTTCTCTGGGAGATGATTTTCAGTAAAGCTTGGGGACTCATCTACTGCAACCCTTCTTTGTGGTGTTCCACAGGGCTCAATTCTTGGACCACTTCTCTTTTTCCCTGTATCTCCTCCCCCTAGGAAGCATAATTAGAAAGCATGGCGTCTCCTACCACTTCTATGCGGACGACTCCCAAATATATCTGCCCCTCAAAAGTGGTGGAAACTCCCTCGTACCTCTACTAGAGTGTTTAAAAGATTATAATGCCTGGATGGCTTCTAACTTTTTTAATCTAAATGAAGATAAAACTGAGGCCATTGTGTTTAGACCCAGTCGGGCCGGTGATATCCTTTCTGTTGACCTGGGCTACCTGCAACAATATGTGAAACCCGTGGCGACAAATCTGGGTGTGAAAATAGACAATGGTTTTAAACTTGATAAATAGATAAATAATGTTGTTAAATCCAGTTTTTATCACCTGAGGCTTTTATCTAAAATCAAACTTGTTTTATCTCGTAAGCACTTTGAACATGTGATTCATGCTTTTATCTCAACTCGTCTACTCGGACTACTGTAATGCACTTTACATTAGAGTTAACCAAACCTCTCTTTCAAGCTTACAGTTAGTACAAAACTCGGCCGCTCGTCTTTTAACTGGAACTCGCAAGCATGAACACATTACACCAGTGCTGGCCTCGCTTCACTGGCTCCTGGTCCATTTTAGAATACATTTTAAGATCTTATAGTTTGTTTTTAAATCACTGACCGGGTTGGCACCTCACTACATCTCAGACCTCTTACAAGTCTACACCCCGCCATGGTCACTTAGATCTACTGACCAACCTCAGCTGGTCGCTCCAAAAACTAGGTTAAAAACCAGGGGTGACCGTGCTTTTTCAGCAGCAGCCCCTAAACTGTGGAAATGGTCAAATTGGCCCCGACCCTCGAATGTTTTAAATCCTGTCTCAAAACCCACTTGTATTCCCTGGCTTTTAATCCAGCATGAGAGCTGTGTAGTATTGTTGTTTTATGTGTTTCTATATATTTTATATGAGTTTTTGTTTTATTTCTTGTTCAGCACTTTGTAAACCTTTGCTTTTTAAATGTGCTATATAAATAAAATGGATTGGAATACTACAAACTATATATTTTAACTGGTAAAAAGGTGGATTGGCTGGCACAGAGCAAGCAAAATTAATGTCATGAGTATAATTGCAAGAAAGACACTTCCTTTATTTTATTTATAGCCTAACCCAGCAGTGAATCATGTCAATTAAAACTACAGTCTGTTTTCCAAACAAGGATATTAAACATAGGCCTTCCAAACACAAATTTCATCGGTAAAAATAGGCTAATTTTATTGCCTATAATAACGTTTTGTCAGGCCTGATAAACTTCAACTGTGATTATTCCATTACAAGAAAAAATGTTTCACAAAGACATACCTTACCACGGACATGAAGTGATGCTTATTTGCATGTTATGACTGTTTGATACAGGTAAACCAGCTATAGATGTATAGATACTGGGCATTACAGCTTTAACATGCTGTGCACGCTCCCGCGGAGGACAATCAGTTTTTGGTGGGTGATCACTTTTCGGCACGACGCCTGTCGCTTCCTCCTGCGCATGTTGTGATTAAGATTGTGCCCGAAGTGGAGGGGCTGTTCACAGACAGGTCCGTTGTCATTGAGAGAGAGAGAAGAAAGTAATGGACACTTTGCTAACCTCTGCACTGACGTTCCGCATGCAAGTATAGGCTAAGTTGTCAAGAGAATACTCTCAGAATGTTGTGGTTTGTGGGAAAACGGTGCACATTGGTCCGACTTTCTACGACCTGACCCAACCCAACTAGACACATCAAACTCTAAAGACTCCATCCGACTGACACTGACAGCGCACACTGATCCAATAGTTGGAGTTGGTCGGCATTTGTCGGGACAGTGTGCAAGCAGCTTAAGGCTACCGCTATTGGGTTAGAGGAGAAGCAGGATGAGTCAAAGCTTCACTGGACCTGTATGGTACCATCAAGTCCAGAGCCAACACAATAAACCAACCAGTGCCCTGCAGCTATACAAGCGCAGACAAAGGTAACGCACTGTAAGAGTACAGCTGCGGACAGGGCAGGGCTAATGCAAGCAGCAGCTCTCACCTCACCGTCCAGTGAGAAGGAGACTCACTGCACACTCACAGAGGTGTGTCATTCAGACAGAACAGTCAGTACTGAAGACTGTGAGGGAAATCACTCTGGACCTGAAAGAGCTGGTGATGCTCTTGGGCATAAAGGCAGGATTAGGACACAGGACAGCCGAACTGCAGTCACCTTGGATCCTAAGACATGAAGGGGCCACAGAGAGGGCAGCCAGATCGCTTACCCTCTCTGCCGATGTCAGAGCCAATAGCAAGGCAACCTTGGCTGAAAGGAATTTCAGGTCCGTATTCTCCAAAGGCTCGAAAGGGGCTTTAGACAGAGCGCATAAAACCAGTGCCAAATCCCACTGAGGAGCTGCAGGGTGTTACACAGGTCTGTGTCCCCGCACCCCTTTCAGGAAATGCTTCACAAGTGGGTGAACGAGTACCGTCTGACTGGATGAGATGGCGGCAGCCCTCTATCCATCAGCAGCTGGAGGAATGAGAGCACACCAGGCAGCGAGCATGTCACCGGATCCAGCCATGGTCCAGACCAGAGTTGGAACGCTGACCACTTGGCAGAATACGAAGACCGAGTGGAGGCGGCTCTCAAACCCTGGATGGTGCACACCACCTCCTGTGAAAGACCCAAACCCTCCAAGTGCAGCCTCTCAGCAGATAGACATATAGGGGCCGACCCGACAGCAGGACTGGGCCACAGAGGCTGCGCAAAGGCGTCCACCCTTCATGGGGGGGGCATCCTGCGAGCTCATTGAGAACCACAGGGCTCACTGAGCGTTTTCTTGGTTGGCAAACAGGTCCACTTCTGCCATGCCAAACCTGTGCCAGATCTGGATCTTACCACGGACATAAAGTGATGCTTATTTGCATGTTATGACTGACCACTACAGGCTGTGAGACGACACTGCGATGAGCCTGAACATCTGCGCAGCAGCAGGTCGTCCAAATAGAACAAGACCCTGATACCCTCCCATTGCAACAGCTCCAGAGCCCTCTAAACACACTTGGAGAAAGTGCACGGGGCCAGTGAGCGCCCTGGAAGGAGAAGCACAGGAACTTTCTGTGTTCCGGGACGACGGGAACATGAAAGTATGCGTCCTAAAGGTCGATAGAGGTGAGCCAGTCCCCCTGGCACACACAACAGCTGTTTTATTGTCAACATGCACAAAGGTCTGTATAATTGCTCTGTTAAATAACGACAGATCGAGGATGGGCCTTATTCCCCCCACGATTTCTTCCTAACCAGGAATGAACGAGAGTTACCCCCAGAGAATGCTGGCCAGTTCCTGGGCTGGGGGAACGGCCAGCTGTGTCAAGGCCATTGTCCACCGGAAGTTGAAACGGGGGGATCGGGGAGCTGCTGGTGGACCCGCGGATGTAAGGAGCTGAGTCATCTGACAACTGCTCCATCAGATCAACTTCAAGTGTGTGGGCTCCCACACCTCTTCATCCTGTTGCTGATTCTTCTCGGGAGAGAGGTGGGCACTGTATGGACAACGCAAGCCGGGGGTGAGCACACGGCCATCATGTTCCAGCTCGAGGCATGCCTTGCATCAGGGATGGAGGTCCATCAGCAGGGTGAATGCTGTTTCGCAGACGCCGCACACCCGCATGGATGCTCTGGCATCTCGCACATATTCACAATGTGACAACGTGATAGAGGCCCACATTGCGGGTGGGCGTAGACAAAGCTTTTTTCAGTGCTGCACATGCTCACAAAGGGGTAAACCCAATAGCAATAGCCTTAGAGGGTGAAGCCTTTATGAAATAGAACAAAACAATTCATCAGACAAAACAAAAACATCAGATGCTATACTGTAACAAACGTATACAGTATATTAAACATGTACTTGTTGGTGCTGTGGTAACTGTTGTGTTCACATCTGTTGTAGCTGTTTTTGTTGAATCTGGAAAGAAAAATGTTTAATTTTGTGTATTTAACTGAGAAGTAACATCTGATAGACATCTTTTTTTATAATTTATTTGTAAATTTACTTGATACAATTGATGGTTTTGTGGTAACTGTTGTGTTCAGACCTGTTGTAGCAACTGCTGTTAAAAAATGAAAAAAATTACAATTTTGTGTGTTTAACTGAGATGTAACATCTGATAAAGAAAATAAATTGTAGAAAAACTTATTTTATTATTATTATTTTAAAGCACTAACTTGTTATAATTGCTGTTAGAGTTGCAGCTGTTGTAGTGTTTATACCTGTAAAAATGTTAAATCTATGAAAAAACAATGCATAGTATAAAATTGCTAAGACATTTTGTACAAATATTTAATTGGGTAATGTTACACCATCCCTTATTTCTAAAAACATACTTGTAACTTCACTTGTTGGTGACGTGGTGTTTGGAGGTGTTTCAGCTATTGGTGTTTCTTTTTATGGCCATAACATAGTAAAACACAGTAAATAGTTATTCAGTAAAACATAATTTACATTACAATGTGTAAAGACCATTTTATAATTATGCATTTTAAACTGAAAAGTGAAATTGTCCAACTGAAGAAAAATTACTGACAAAATTTAATAGCATGTTTAGATTGTTGAATTGTTAATAGCCTGCAAAGACAATTCAACAAAACCACATGATTCAAGCTCATATTTCTTACTCTAAACATTTACTAAATGTTACTGCAAAGGTGTGTCACATAAACTTAACCTAATACTAAATGCCTTGGTAAAAAAAAAAAGGAAAGGAAGACCATCATTAAAAGTCATTGTAATTGTAGGTGTAGTGGTGTTGAGATGTGTTGTCACAATACTGTAGTTATTGTGTATGTTATCATCATGTATTATTGCAGACAATGAAAGACCAAAATATTCAAGCCCAGAACAATTACTTTCTTTCTAAATTTACTGTTTAAAACATATATGTCCATCGTGAGCCGTTGGTGTAGCTGTGGCTGTTGCAGTATTCAAATATGTTGACAGTTGAATGTTTTCTGACACCAACTCTGTAGGTCTTGCTGTAGTTTGAATTAGTGTTTAGATGTACTGTTATTGTAGACGATGTGTCTAAAATGTGATTTTAATATCATTAAACAAAAAATATAATTCAAGAAAGAATTTTACTTAATTAACTCATACCCTTATTTTAAAAACCTTATTTGCTGTAAATGTTGTTGGTGTTGAAGAAAAGTTTAATTTCATAGATCATTTAAACATTTAAATTTAAACATTAAGTAGTTAAAAAATCTTAACCACAGGAGTGTTACCCATCTCTTATTTCTACAAACATACTGGTAACGACAGTTGTTGGTAAAGGTGTGGCTATTTTGTTGTATCAATAGTTGTTCAAAATGTTGTTGTTCATAATGTGTTAGTGACAATAGAATCCGTATTATTTAAGGATATGACTTACGTTATTTTGCAGCATGTTTACTACACAAGTCTGTCCCATAAATAACACTTAAAAACTAACTGCTGTATTAGAACTAGGAAGAGCAATTTAATAATATTTTTATAAGAATTTGAAGGTTATTGTTGTTGGTTTTGTTACAGCTTTTGTAGTGTGCATATTTGTTGTATTAACAGGTTTTGAATATGAAAGGACGATTTTGGGGTGTTGTTGTGTTCAGGACTTTTCTTTTTCTTCTGTTCACTCACTTCGTATGTATTTAATTGATAAATATATTCTCTTAACATGTCCATTTTTGAAAGTATTCTTACTTGACAACATATTTTCCACACTTGCATAAAACCTTTGCACAGTACTGTATGTGATTATTACAACATACCTGTTATGACAGTAGGGGTTGATAAGACTGCAGTAGTGTTTTGTGTTGTTGCAACAGTTGTGGTCTCTGTGATTTAAGAAAACAGTAACACTTAAACTGCTGAAATACTAAAAAATGACAGCAACAAAGACTGCAAAGCCTTGTGCATTTTAATTGTCATAGCTTAGATCACATATCATAAGCTCAATGAATCAGAGTGTGTAAGTTGAGTAAAAATAGCTATAACCAAAAACTTTGTGGTATTTTCAATTACTTTAGTTTGGAATAAATACGTAACAAATAATGCAAGTCTGAAAATACATTAGTATTTCATACCATCTGAAGGAGCTGGGCAAATCAAGAGATCTGTTTGGAAAAAATAAAATAAATAAACAGCAAGTGGACATATCTTCAATATAACTGAGGCATAAAAGTGATTCATAGGAGGCTCTTACCTGACAGTGTCTGGCAATAAACCCCATCTGGAGGAATGGCATTGATGCATCCACAAGTGTTGTCCAATATATCATCACATTTGCCAAAAGTAGAACACATATGACAAGGCCAACGGTACTGTTCTTCACATCTGCATTGGAATGTTGTACCACTTGGGTAACAAACTACATAGAAAATCATTATGAAACAAAACCATTAGCACAGGAAATGTAAGATTGTTGACATACTTTGCAATGATTTCCATTACATGTTTATTCATTCTTAGATTACCTGTAGAAATGCTGACATCAGAGATCTGTATGTGGTTGTTGATGCTGACGGGGTAACCGATGTTGCTCAGAATGGTCCTCAGTTGATTTACTTCTGTCACATCTGAGATGTTCAACTCAACAGAAATGAGGTATTCATAAACAATGGGTGGACCTATTGGGAGATTTTAAAAGAAATAATGTATAATTTAATAAGTAGATGTTTGATCTGAAGTCTCTATTTCAGTATAATTCTTTGTTGCTGATTTATTTAGCACTGTCTTAGTCTGAGTCTTACTTGTTGGTGAAGGAGAGGGTGTTGTCACAGGACAAGCTGTAAAGTCTGGAAGGAGGACAAGAGAAAAGTATCATAGCACTGACACTTCTACCATTGTCTGCTTATTTCCACATGATTATTTCAAAACTTGCTTACTGTACTGATCAACAGACTGGCAATAAACCCCATCTGGAGGAATGGCATTGATGCATCCACAAGTGTTGTCCAATATATCATCACATTTGCCAAAAGTAGAACACATATGACAAGGCCAACGGTACTGTTCTTCACATCTGCATTGGAATGTTGTACCACTTGGGTAACAAACTACATAGAAAATCATTATGAAACAAAACCATTAGCACAGGAAATGTAAGATTGTTGACATACTTTGCAATGATTTCCATTACATGTTTATTCATTCTTAGATTACCTGTAGAAATGCTGACATCAGAGATCTGTATGTGGTTGTTGATGCTGACGGGGTAAGTGATGCTGCTCAGAATGGTCCTCAGTTGATTTACTTCTGTCACATCTGAGATGTTCAACTCAACAGAAATGAGGTATTCATAAACAATGGGTGGACCTAATGGGAGATTTTAAAAGAAATAATGTATAATTTAACAAGTAGATGTTTGATCTGAAGTCTCTATTTCAGTATAATTCTTTGTTGCTGATTTATTTAGCACTGTCTTAGTCTGAGTCTTACTTGTTGGTGAAGGAGAGGGTGTTGTCACAGGACAAGCTGTAAAGTCTGGAAGGAGGACAAGAGAAAAGTATCATAGCACTGACACTTCTACCATTGTCTGCTTATTTCCACATGATTATTTCAAAACTTGCTTACTGTACTGATCAACAGACTGGCAATAAACCCCATCTGGAGGAATGGCATTGATGCATCCACAAGTGTTGTCCAATATATCATCACATTTGCCAAAAGTAGAGCACATATGACAAGGCCAACGGTACTGTTCTTCACATCTGCATTGGAATGTTGTACCACTTGGGTAACAAACTACATAGAAAATCATTATGAAACAAAACCATTAGCACAGGAAATGTAAGATTGTTGACATACTTTGCAATGATTTCCATTACATGCTGATTCATTCTTAGATTACCTGTAGAAATGCTGACATCAGAGATCTGTATGTGGTTGTTGATGCTGACGGGGTAAGTGATGCTGCTCAGAATGGTCCTCAGTTGATTTACTTCTGTCACATCTGAGATGTTCAACTCAACAGAAATGAGGTATTCATAAACAATGGGTGGACCTAATGGGAGATTTTAAAAGAAATAATGTATAATTTAATAAGTAGATGTTTGATCTGAAGTCTCTATTTCAGTATAATTCTTTGTTGCTGATTTATTTAGCACTGTCTTAGTCTGAGTCTTACTTGTTGGTGAAGGAGAGGGTGTTGTCACAGGACAAGCTGTAAAGTCTGGAAGGAGGACAAGAGAAAAGTATCATAGCACTGACACTTCTACCATTGTCTGCTTATTTCCACATGATTATTTCAAAACTTGCTTACTGTATGATCAACAGACTGGCAATAAACCCCATCTGGAGGAATGGCATTGATGCATCCACAAGTGTTGTCCAATATATCATCACATTTGCCAAAAGTAGAGCACATATGACAAGGCCAACGGTACTGTTCTTCACATCTGCATTGGAATGTTGTACCACTTGGGTAACAAACTACATAGAAAATCATTATGAAACAAAACCATTAGCACAGGAAATGTAAGATTGTTGACATACTTTGCAATGATTTCCATTACATGTTATTCATTCTTAGATTACCTGTAGAAATGCTGACATCAGAGATCTGTATGTGGTTGTTGATGCTGACGGGGTAAGTGATGCTGCTCAGAATGGTCCTCAGTTGATTTACTTCTGTCACATCTGAGATGTTCAACTCAACAGAAATGAGGTATTCATAAACAATGGGTGGACCTAATGGGAGATTTTAAAAGAAATAATGTATAATTTAACAAGTAGATGTTTGATCTGAAGTCTCTATTTCAGTATAATTCTTTGTTGCTGATTTATTTAGCACTGTCTTAGTCTGAGTCTTACTTGTTGGTGAAGGAGAGGGTGTTGTCACAGGACAAGCTGTAAAGTCTGGAAGGAGGACAAGAGAAAAGTATCATAGCACTGACACTTCTACCATTGTCTGCTTATTTCCACATGATTATTTCAAAACTTGCTTACTGTATTGATCAACAGACTGGCAATAAACCCCATCTGGAGGAATGGCATTGATGCATCCACAAGTGTTGTCCAATATATCATCACATTTGCCAAAAGTAGAGCACATATGACAAGGCCAACGGTACTGTTCTTCACATCTGCATTGGAATGTTGTACCACTTGGGTAACAAACTACATAGAAAATCATTATGAAACAAAACCATTAGCACAGGAAATGTAAGATTGTTGACATACTTTGCAATGATTTCCATTACATGCTGATTCATTCTTAGATTACCTGTAGAAATGCTGACATCAGAGATCTGTATGTGGTTGTTGATGCTGACGGGGTAAGTGATGCTGCTCAGAATGGTCCTCAGTTGATTTACTTCTGTCACATCTGAGATGTTCAACTCAACAGAAATGAGGTATTCATAAACAATGGGTGGACCTAATGGGAGATTTTAAAAGAAATAGTGTATAATTTAACAAGTAGATGTTTGATCTGAAGTCTCTATTTCAGTATAATTCTTTGTTGCTGATTTATTTAGCACTGTCTTAGTCTGAGTCTTACTTGTTGGTGAAGGAGAGGGTGTTGTCACAGGACAAGCTGTAAAGTCTGGAAGGAGGACAAGAGAAAAGTATCATAGCACTGACACTTCTACCATTGTCTGCTTATTTCCACATGATTATTTCAAAACTTGCTTACTGTATTGATCAACAGACTGGCAATAAACCCCATCTGGAGGAATGGCATTGATGCATCCACAAGTGTTGTCCAATATATCATCACATTTGCCAAAAGTAGAGCACATATGACAAGGCCAACGGTACTGTTCTTCACATCTGCATTGGAATGTTGTACCACTTGGGTAACAAACTACATAGAAAATCATTATGAAACAAAACCATTAGCACAGGAAATGTAAGATTGTTGACATACTTTGCAATGATTTCCATTACATGTTTATTCATTCTTAGATTACCTGTAGAAATGCTGACATCAGAGATCTGTATGTGGTTGTTGATGCTGACGGGGTAAGATGTGTGCTCAGAATGGTCCTCAGTTGATTTACTTCTGTCACATCTGAGATGTTCAACTCAACAGAAATGAGGTATTCATAAACAATGGGTGGACCTAATGGGAGATTTTAAAAGAAATAATGTATAATTTAATAAGTAGATGTTTGATCTGAAGTCTCTATTTCAGTATAATTCTTTGTTGCTGATTTATTTAGCACTGTCTTAGTCTGAGTCTTACTTGTTGGTGAAGGAGAGGGTGTTGTCACAGGACAAGCTGTAAAGTCTGGAAGGAGGACAAGAGAAAAGTATCATAGCACTGACACTTCTACCATTGTCTGCTTATTTCCACATGATTATTTCAAAACTTGCTTACTGTATTGATCAACAGACTGGCAATAAACCCCATCTGGAGGAATGGCATTGATGCATCCACAAGTGTTGTCCAATATATCATCACATTTGCCAAAAGTAGAGCACATATGACAAGGCCAACGGTACTGTTCTTCACATCTGCATTGGAATATTGTACCACTTGGGTAACAAACTACATAGAAAATCATTATGAAACAAAACCATTAGCACAGGAAATGTAAGATTGTTGACATACTTTGCAATGATTTCCATTACATGCTGATTCATTCTTAGATTACCTGTAGAAATGCTGACATCAGAGATCTGTATGTGGTTGTTGATGCTGACGGGGTAAGTGATGCTGCTCAGAATGGTCCTCAGTTGATTTACTTCTGTCACATCTGAGATGTTCAACTCAACAGAAATGAGGTATTCATAAACAATGGGTGGACCTAATGGGAGATTTTAAAAGAAATAATGTATAATTTAATAAGTAGATGTTTGATCTGAAGTCTCTATTTCAGTATAATTCTTTGTTGATTTATTTAGCACTGTCTTAGTCTGAGTCTTACTTGTTGGTGAAGGAGAGGGTGTTGTCACAGGACAAGCTGTAAAGTCTGGAAGGAGGACAAGAGAAAAGTATCATAGCACTGACACTTCTACCATTGTCTGCTTATTTCCACATGATTATTTCAAAACTTGCTTACTGTACTGATCAACAGACTGGCAATAAACCCCATCTGGAGGAATGGCATTGATGCATCCACAAGTGTTGTCCAATATATCATCACATTTGCCAAAAGTAGAGCACATATGACAAGGCCAACGGTACTGTTCTTCACATCTGCATTGGAATGTTGTACCACTTGGGTAACAAACTACATAGAAAATCATTATGAAACAAAACCATTAGCACAGGAAATGTAAGATTGTTGACATACTTTGCAATGATTTCCATTACATGTTTATTCATTCTTAGATTACCTGTAGAAATGCTGACATCAGAGATCTGTATGTGGTTGTTGATGCTGACGGGGTAAGTGATGCTGCTCAGAATGGTCCTCAGTTGATTTACTTCTGTCACATCTGAGATGTTCAACTCAACAGAAATGAGGTATTCATAAACAATGGGTGGACCTAATGGGAGATTTTAAAAGAAATAATGTATAATTTAACAAGTAGATGTTTGATCTGAAGTCTCTATTTCAGTATAATTCTTTGTTGCTGATTTATTTAGCACTGTCTTAGTCTGAGTCTTACTTGTTGGTGAAGGAGAGGGTGTTGTCACAGGACAAGCTGTAAAGTCTGGAAGGAGGACAAGAGAAAAGTATCATAGCACTGACACTTCTACCATTGTCTGCTTATTTCCACATGATTATTTCAAAACTTGCTTACTGTATTGATCAACAGATGGCAATAAACCCCATCTGGAGGAATGGCATTGATGCATCCACAAGTGTTGTCCAATATATCATCACATTTGCCAAAAGTAGAGCACATATGACAAGGCCAACGGTACTGTTCTTCACATCTGCATTGGAATGTTGTACCACTTGGGTAACAAACTACATAGAAAATCATTATGAAACAAAACCATTAGCACAGGAAATGTAAGATTGTTGACATACTTTGCAATGATTTCCATTACATGCTGATTCATTCTTAGATTACCTGTAGAAATGCTGACATCAGAGATCTGTATGTGGTTGTTGATGCTGACGGGGTAAGTGATGCTGCTCAGAATGGTCCTCAGTTGATTTACTTCTGTCACATCTGAGATGTTCAACTCAACAGAAATGAGGTATTCATAAACAATGGGTGGACCTAATGGGAGATTTTAAAAGAAATAGTGTATAATTTAACAAGTAGATGTTTGATCTGAAGTCTCTATTTCAGTATAATTCTTTGTTGCTGATTTATTTAGCACTGTCTTAGTCTGAGTCTTACTTGTTGGTGAAGGAGAGGGTGTTGTCACAGGACAAGCTGTAAAGTCTGGAAGGAGGACAAGAGAAAAGTATCATAGCACTGACACTTCTACCATTGTCTGCTTATTTCCACATGATTATTTCAAAACTTGCTTACTGTATTGATCAACAGACTGGCAATAAACCCCATCTGGAGGAATGGCATTGATGCATCCACAAGTGTTGTCCAATATATCATCACATTTGCCAAAAGTAGAGCACATATGACAAGGCCAACGGTACTGTTCTTCACATCTGCATTGGAATGTTGTACCACTTGGGTAACAAACTACATAGAAAATCATTATGAAACAAAACCATTAGCACAGGAAATGTAAGATTGTTGACATACTTTGCAATGATTTCCATTACATGCTGATTCATTCTTAGATTACCTGTAGAAATGCTGACATCAGAGATCTGTATGTGGTTGTTGATGCTGACGGGGTAAGTGATGCTGCTCAGAATGGTCCTCAGTTGATTTACTTCTGTCACATCTGAGATGTTCAACTCAACAGAAATGAGGTATTCATAAACAATGGGTGGACCTAATGGGAGATTTTAAAAGAAATATGTATAATTTAACAAGTAGATGTTTGATCTGAAGTCTCTATTTCAGTATAATTCTTTGTTGCTGATTTATTTAGCACTGTCTTAGTCTGAGTCTTACTTGTTGGTGAAGGAGAGGGTGTTGTCACAGGACAAGCTGTAAAGTCTGGAAGGAGGACAAGAGAAAAGTATCATAGCACTGACACTTCTACCATTGTCTGCTTATTTCCACATGATTATTTCAAAACTTGCTTACTGTATTGATCAACAGACTGGCAATAAACCCCATCTGGAGGAATGGCATTGATGCATCCACAAGTGTTGTCCAATATATCATCACATTTGCCAAAAGTAGAGCACATATGACAAGGCCAACGGTACTGTTCTTCACATCTGCATTGGAATGTTGTACCACTTGGGTAACAAACTACATAGAAAATCATTATGAAACAAAACCATTAGCACAGGAAATGTAAGATTGTTGACATACTTTGCAATGATTTCCATTACATGTTTATTCATTCTTAGATTACCTGTAGAAATGCTGACATCAGAGATCTGTATGTGGTTGTTGATGCTGACGGGGTAACCGATGTTGCTCAGAATGGTCCTCAGTTGATTTACTTCTGTCACATCTGAGATGTTCAACTCAACAGAAATGAGGTATTCATAAACAATGGGTGGACCTAATGGGAGATTTTAAAAGAAATAATGTATAATTTAATAAGTAGATGTTTGATCTGAAGTCTCTATTTCAGTATAATTCTTTGTTGCTGATTTATTTAGCACTGTCTTAGTCTGAGTCTTACTTGTTGGTGAAGGAGAGGGTGTTGTCACAGGACAAGCTGTAAAGTCTGGAAGGAGGACAAGAGAAAAGTATCATAGCACTGACACTTCTACCATTGTCTGCTTATTTCCACATGATTATTTCAAAACTTGCTTACTGTATTGATCAACAGACTGGCAATAAACCCCATCTGGAGGAATGGCATTGATGCATCCACAAGTGTTGTCCAATATATCATCACATTTGCCAAAAGTAGAGCACATATGACAAGGCCAACGGTACTGTTCTTCACATCTGCATTGGAATATTGTACCACTTGGGTAACAAACTACATAGAAAATCATTATGAAACAAAACCATTAGCACAGGAAATGTAAGATTGTTGACATACTTTGCAATGATTTCCATTACATGCTGATTCATTCTTAGATTACCTGTAGAAATGCTGACATCAGAGATCTGTATGTGGTTGTTGATGCTGACGGGGTAAGTGATGCTGCTCAGAATGGTCCTCAGTTGATTTACTTCTGTCACATCTGAGATGTTCAACTCAACAGAAATGAGGTATTCATAAACAATGGGTGGACCTAATGGGAGATTTTAAAAGAAATAATGTATAATTTAATAAGTAGATGTTTGATCTGAAGTCTCTATTTCAGTATAATTCTTTGTTGTTGATTTATTTAGCACTGTCTTAGTCTGAGTCTTACTTGTTGGTGAAGGAGAGGGTGTTGTCACAGGACAAGCTGTAAAGTCTGGAAGGAGGACAAGAGAAAAGTATCATAGCACTGACACTTCTACCATTGTCTGCTTATTTCCACATGATTATTTCAAAACTTGCTTACTGTACTGATCAACAGACTGGCAATAAACCCCATCTGGAGGAATGGCATTGATGCATCCACAAGTGTTGTCCAATATATCATCACATTTGCCAAAAGTAGAGCACATATGACAAGGCCAACGGTACTGTTCTTCACATCTGCATTGGAATGTTGTACCACTTGGGTAACAAACTACATAGAAAATCATTATGAAACAAAACCATTAGCACAGGAAATGTAAGATTGTTGACATACTTTGCAATGATTTCCATTACATGTTTATTCATTCTTAGATTACCTGTAGAAATGCTGACATCAGAGATCTGTATGTGGTTGTTGATGCTGACGGGGTAACCGATGTTGCTCAGAATGGTCCTCAGTTGATTTACTTCTGTCACATCTGAGATGTTCAACTCAACAGAAATGAGGTATTCATAAACAATTGGAGGGGCTGCAGAGGCAGAAAATAATTGAGTATTCAATAATTTTGTTGAGAGAAGTGTAATAGAAATCAAATTAATGTAAAAAATTAAAAATTTTGTTCATGTTCATGTCGATATTTATTTTCTGATGAAAACCAGCAGCGTTATTTTCACTTTACCTGTTGGTGAAGTTGTTGTTGTTGAAGGACACACTGAAAAGTCTGTATACAGAAACAAACATTTCTTCGGTGAAAAGGTGTCAGTATAGGCATGAGGTTAAAATAAAAATAACAAATACACGTGAGCACTTGCTTAAATAAAATAACTGAAAATAAGAACATAGCAAAGGAGAGTCACACACTAAATGTTGCTTTCAAAATTAAGTTATTTGGGCATTAAAACAGGGATTAGTGTGTGACCATAGGACTCACTTTGATGATTTATTGATTGACAATACTGTCCATCTGTAGGAATAGCTTTGATGCACCCACATGTGTTGGTTTTATCACCATAACATTTCCCATAGGTGGCACACTTGTCACAAGGCCAAAGGTAGTCATCCTCACAGTGGCAGAGGAACCCATGGCCATCTTGGCTGCAAACTTTAAAGAGAACACATTTTAGAAAGAGGTCAAATGTTTAATATAGTCACCATAACAAATGCTACTCTCCGAGGGCTTGCCTGTAGTGATCTCGACATCTGAGATGTTTATTTGCTTGCTGATTTGGACGGGGAATGGGATATTGTTCACGGTGTTTCTCAGTTGATCTGCGTCTGTAGTGTTCACTTCAATGAAAATCTGGTATTCATAAACAATTGGAGGTACTGTTGAAAAAGAGAGCGTAATTCGAAAGAAATTGTCACCATTGTCTTTCAAATCTGAGGTAATCTTCAGTAAAACAAATCGTTAAAATCATATTATTATTTATGTATAACTGTGTTATCATTAATTTGTCTAGTAATCACATTGCAGGACGGAATATTACATTCTCACCAGTAAATAGCATGTCAATTTTTGTAATGTTGATTGTGTTGCTGAGTCTAACAGGAAAACTAATGTTCTCCACAGTGTCCCTTAATTGTTCTATCAGTGCGATACCACTGACTGTGATCTCAACTTCAAGTATGTAAGAATGAAAACATAAGATTCAATTGAATTTTTTAAGTACAAAATTAATAATAAACTTTAAATACTGTAAGTGTCTTTCACCTTTCTTTGGCTGGCAGTATTGCCCCTGAGATGGAATACTGTTGATGCACCCACATGTGTCGTCATTGATTTCATCACAGGCTCCATATGTATTACAGTTCTGATATGACCAAACATACTGATCCTCACATCTGCACCGGAAGTTGGTACCATTTGGGTAGCACACTAAATAAACAAAACAAACAAACACAATTATTATCACTCATTGATAGGCCATCAATGTTTGGTCTCGGCTGTCACCGGGCAGAGCAGGGTCCCCTATGATGCCAGTGATGCAGGATTTTAAATTGTTCCTTGTTGAACTTTAACTTGTCTGTTGACAGACAGTGAACTTTGGAAGTATTTGGACAATGGTACATTTTCTGTTTCTGTTGTCTCTGTATGTTACTTTATACTTCTCTATACTTTATAATATTGAACCATATTTATCCAATAGACATAGTTACGTTACAGAGTAATCTTATAAAACACAACACATTCTTAACATTAAATCAGTGGTTCCCAATCTTTTTGGCTTGTGACCCCTTATAAAAAGCAGTGTATACATAGGGCCTCTTGTCATGTTTCATGCTATATGTTTAGACAGTTCCAGTTATTGTTAGCAGTTCCACCAAATAGACATTTCCCTTCCAAACTTCCAAGATGGATTCATTTAATCAACAAACAACATAGAAAGTGGAAAAGTATCAAATATTTCACAAAAAGCAGATTTTTATATCAGAACTTGTATCTTTTCTTTTTTCCTCTCCCAATAGTCATCTCATGAGCCCTCAGATTGATCTGTTGATTTATCTGGAACAGTAGTAATTGCGGCAATTTAAGTGATTGAGATTAAAGGAGAGAAAAATGTAGAACTGTGTGTTGTCAGAATATTAAAAGCGTGTTATATTATGTGTCCTTGTACCATTGTTCGCAAGCAGGGGCCGCAAATGTCCAAAAAATGACTTGTTTCAAAGTATTAAACTACTAATTAACTACAAACGGAAGCATTTCTATTCAAGAACAAAGAAAATCAGTACAAGACCTAAAGGACAACTAAATATTAAAGACTTGAAATAGCAGGTTTAAAGATTGTAGATTGTTAGATCAGGACTCATTGTAATTAACTTTAGAAATAAGTTTTCAGTCACCTGACAGACAACGGCACTGGTATAATTATCAAAGGGTCATTCTCTCCAAATAGACTTTGGTAGACAGATAAATGCCACCTTTACACAGCGTGACACTACAGTGGTAGTGACGATACTTTTCACTTAAAACATTAACATGACTATGAGCTCAGGGTTGTATCTTCACATGTCAGACAGAAACACCACTTTGTAACATTAACATGACGGTGATCTCAGGACTGTATGCAGTGCTTGAAGTGGGGAAAAAATAGGTGCCAGTACTCAGACCCACATATTACTGTGGTGTGTTCAGCAGCACATGGAGACTGTCCTGCAGAGGACCCGTGGGAAAATATTATCAGTAATCAATTATTGTAATAACCTATTTAATAGAGGACAATTCACAATACTTGAATTGTTGTGAATTCCATAGGGCCCTACTAAAACTACAGTGGAATAGAATAGAATTTTCTTTAATCACTTTTGAACTTAAAGATATTGATTCCTGTGATAACATCTATTTTAGTGGTGTAGTAAGCACTTTGCACTTGTTTGTACACAAACAGTCTAGTGGTGATGGGAGTCCAGAGAGCAGGTGCGCTTCAGCTGCTGTATCACACCCAAATATCTGGAGTTAAATCGTATGAAATTACACAGTAAACACTTGATTGTGCACTGATGCAAAGGAAACGACTGGCCAGAGGCATTCCCGTAAGAACCTGTAATATTATCTCTAACATGAGAATATTTTTCATGAAAGAAAAAAGTATTATACACAGAAAATCATCAAGAATTATTCTCTTTGTCAACTGTGGGAAAAACGGTATGGCACACTACAGTGGCACGGTGATCAGACCAGAAGAAGCTCCATTCTTACCTGTGGTAATGTCAATGTGTGTGACATTCACAGTGGGACCCAAGTCCAGGGAAAAGCTGCCGTTGATAAGGCGACTCCTAAGGTAGTCCAATGTCTTGACATCTGTAACATTCAGTTCTACATCTACTGTGTAGTCAACCTGAGCTAGCAGCGCTGTAGGAAAAATTCAACAGCATTTAGGGCCTTTTTTGGATTCAGGACATACCACTATAGAGAGATCACAGCACATATAATTAGACATGGTGCTGAGGGTAAAACTTCAATTTGTGTTTCCTAGGTGGGCTGTTCACACTGTATCACATGGAATTTCACATTTAAGGCCTAAAGGCTACTGTACAACCAGAATTAACAGTATTAGTCACTGCAATCTTCATTAAGGAAATTAAGGCGTCCTTTTTTATTTATTTGCCTCTTTTCGGTTAATTCTAGGAAGGTTACACTGAGGAAGGTGGTTGCATTCATATTCAGTTTTCTGATCAGGCTGCAAAATGCTCATCTACAGAAATGGAATTTATTGTTGGTTTGGACTCATCCAAATTCACTCAAAATATTTCTACGTTAGAAGATTTTGCAACAAATCAATAAAGAATGTGAGTCTCGTTTATTGAGTCCGTACAAAGACCAAAGTTAAAAATGTTTTATGGGGGATTTCACACTGCACTATTATTTGGTGGGGTGCAGTGACTTCAGGCTAGCTGTAACTCCTGGACTAGAAAACTCATGCTAAGCAAAGCTAATCTCCTGGCTTTAGCTTAATATTTAACGGACAGATACGAGAATGGTAAAGATCTTCTCATGTAACTCTCAGAGAGAAAGCAAATAAGTGTATTTACATTAAAGGTCACACTATTCATTTTCATACCATTTTCAACCATTTGAATTAATTGGACTTACCATCCCTTTTCTCCCTGGTGTGAGGTAGAAAGTGATCTTCTTCATAGTGCACCTGAGGCAAATAAAATGGTGTCAGGCTCAAATCATTGATTTGTGGCAGTAGTATTTTCTGTTCAGTATCATAAATACAGTGGACTTACTAGTAAAGCTGGACTTGAGAATTCAACAAAGTTCCCCGCTACCAAAATAATAAGAGTCAATAGGAGAAAGATGGTCAAGCCATTCTGAGATATTGCCATTCCTTTCAAGAAAGACAGAAAGACAGAAAAATAAGACATTATGTGGCGATTCCATCCAACTTGCAACTTGTTGCAACATGTATTGTTACAGAGACAATGGGTGTGGAACTTCTCATATTAGTCATAATTCTACAAGTGAACAGATGAAATCAAGCCAGTTATTAATACATTGAGGGTTGCTCAACTTACTTGCTTTCATTACAAGCAATGGATACTAATCGTTTACCAGCTTTCTTATTAAATTCCCAGCTTTGGTCTTAGACAAATTTTAAGGCACAGCTCAGCTGGAAAATGCAAAACACTTTTTAGAGACACAAGGTTCTCACAGGACAGCAATGCTACAAAAAGATAAAACAAATAGTCAATGTGAATTAGAACAAAGAAATAGTCAATCCATCCATTCCATCAGAAGAAAGCTACTCTGTGCAATGAGAGGATTCTGTCAATATAGCAGAATCAATCCAATGATCATCTGACATACATAGATATGGCAATAATGGAAAGTGTATATATTGTGTAAATATTTCTGCTGGCTTTCAGTTAATGTAGCAAAATTCATGGCAAATGTAGTGAAGGTAAAAGTAGATTTCTGGCCCAAAAAATACTTAAAAGTCAAAGTACAGTTTTATAAAAGGAACTTGAAGAGTTGCTGTTGTAAGAAAAAAACTTTTTTACTCATTTGTGTTACTTGTAACAAGTTACTACCAGCCCCTGAATGTAGTGCAGTAGAAACTACAATATTTGCCTCTGAGATGTTGTGGAGTAAAAGTGTAAAATACAAATAGTAAATAGTAAACGTAATGGAAAGTACTAGTTCGTTGAATCTGTACTGAAGTACAGTAGAGTAAATGTACACAGACATCAGCACAAACTGTTTCTACTTTTTAATCAATGTATTCTGACCTTGTCTTGTGGGTGTTTTTATCAACCCTCTTTTTTACCATTCCTCTTTTTACTTATGTATTGTGAGCCAAAGCCCCCCTCTGAACGAAAGGTCCATGACAGCCCTGATGAATTAGCGGCCCGCGGGCCACATCCGGCCCTGAAGCAACCTCCATGTGGCCCAGCACATAATCTAATATAGCCTATACAACAACAAAAGTACACTACATGTATAGTGTATGAAAGTATCTAAAGAGTGAGCTATTGTATATCGTTCCTTCTCATCTCTGTTGAGTTTCATATGCGCTTTACCGATCACCGCCAATCAAGGCTCAACACTTAGCCTACTGTCCAACCTGCAGCCTCTCCGCTCCTCTGTGTGTCTGCAGAGCACCTCGAGCGCGTGCAAACCCACGGAGCGAAGTCCGCCAGCTGATCAGTGGACATTACCGACATTGATGACTACTACGCCGGCTGAGACAAACCAGCTCCTCTCTACCAGCAGCAGCAGAGGGATGAGGAGGACAGGAGGGACTGAGCTGTTCATAATTTCTGAACTTCACACAGTATGTTGATGTCAGGAATATGATTTATTTGTTGTTGACATGTTAAATTTGTTTCCAGTGAGATATTAATGACTTTGCTGCTGTAAATCATGTTGCTGCTCTAGAAACAACATCATGATCATAGTAATATATCTTCTTGCGACGAAATTAAACTGAATAACAAAACTGAAAAACATTATTTTGTCCTTGTAATCCATGCTTTCACTGCATGGATAGCCTTTGGATATTGCTGGAAATAGTCCCCCTCCTTAAAGGGTAAATTATTATCATAACTATTAAATAACGCATTGCATTTAAACAGCGCTTTTCATACACAAAAAGCAATAACAGTAGCCTACTGGTCTAACAGGAATGGTTTCCTTGTATAATGTAATTTCATAAATATATCAATAAGTTACTGAAAAGATCCTATTACTGAAACAAATAACTGTAGGTAACTGAAACATACTAAAACATTACATTATATACTAAACAGGACATTTTGAAAGCTTAAACTTTGTCTTTGTCTCGTTTGTCCCGGATTGAATGGGCCCCTCTGACAAAACAACTGGCCCCAGTCTGGCCCCCTTAATAAAACTGGTCTAGAACCGCCACTGTTCCTTCTGGAAAATGAGTATCAGGATTATTAGGCTATATAAACACATCATATTTTGAGTTGGATAGCCTATGGCCTGGTGTTCAGGTCACATCTCTGCTATCATAAAATCAGTGTTGGGCAGTAGCGTTGCTACAAGTAGCGCTGTTACTAGTTTAAGTTAGTTACATTTCTCAGTAGCTTAGTGGCAGCGTCGCTATTTTCTGAATCAAATAGCTTTTCAGTAACGAAGCTCTTTTATTGGCCGAGTAGCTTCCACACACGCTACATTTTCTCAAGCGTTACTGAAGGATCAGTAAGTGACGCCACCGCCCACACAGACCTGTATGTGCAGCCGGCAGAAGTGCTTCCTGTGATGGTGACATCACGTACTGATCCTTAGGCTGCGACTTTGCTGCAGGGGAATAAAGACACACGCGATAGAGTTCACTTTCTATTGTGATAGTTGTTGTAACACCTCTTGTGACAAGGATCAGGGTCCAGCCTGGACACCTCTTCCTCTAGTGAGAGGAAACTTTGATATGTAGTGGCAGAAACCTGTTTCCATGAGAGATCTCTCTCTCTCTCTTTCTCGCCCATTGCCATGAATGTTTAGGTTGTTTAGGTTGCAATGTTGCCAGAGCACTAATTCACATATAAACAATAAAAAATGTATAAGCAATTAATAATGTGATAATTAAGTTACTTTATACAAACAATAATGGTTCTCCGTTTGTTGCATGAGGAAATACATTTAACTGCAATGATACGGCAGTAAGTAGGAGAGTTTGTGTGTGTCTGATTTAGCTCTCTCTGCACACACACTCTGTTTGGAGCAGGTTTTTAGTCTTTCTTCTATTGCTACTGTGGAATGAAGTTGGTTCAATATAAACTAGGCCTATACTGTGTGTGTGTGTGTGTGTGTGTGTGTGTGTATATATATATATATATATATATATATATATATATATATATATATATATATACCTAACTATAAAATATAAAAAATTCAAAGTAGCTTCGATGTAACTAAGCTATTTTTGCCACGTTGCTGTAGCTTAGCTGGCTACATTTCACTGGGGAGTAGCTTCTGTGTAGTGAAGCTACATTTAATGTAAAGTAGCTAGTAGCTTAGCTCACTACATTTTCCAAGTAGCTTGCCCTACACTGCATAACATCCTGTGGTTGGTTTGTTTGCTTTCACACGACCAACGAACCGCACCAGTTTTAGGGCTGAAACGACTCATCGATTAAATCAATAAAAATAAAATCGAACGTTTCGACACAAATTCTTTGCATCGATGCTTCGTTTAATCCATTTAACTATATAACCATTAACAATGGGGCGGCTGCATGTTGAAGCATTTAAATGAAATCATGATTGATTGTTCAGTTGAAGGCTAGCCAAAGTAAGCCGCAGTCCTCGGCTGAAAATGTGCACATGTGCGTTTGTTGTTCTCCTGTTTGGGCTGTGAGTTGTAACCTCACCGTGTCGGGGAGCTGCCATTTTTAACTACCCTGCAGCTCTCTCTGTAGGTCAGACAATCCCTGCTACCTGCGAGTAATAATCCATCTTTTCAACCATATTCTTTGTCTTTATAATTGCCATTTTTATAATAACAAACAACAGTGTAATTTCAGATGACTTTGAAGTAGATAAACCCAAACACTCCTGGATAGATTTCCAGTTTGGATCTTCTCAGGGAAGACAAATTTTTTTGCTACAGTGCATGGTGCCAAAACAGACCTTGTCTTGAGTAAATGCATCATGCTGTTTCCCTTGTAGACAGTTTAGGGCTCATGCACCATCGGATTTAATGCTTACAGTAAAAGGCTTCAGAGACTGGAAACATGCCTTACAAAAGGATAAGGGACTAAACAGACACGCCTCTTCTAAGGACTATATTGTGTGTGAGAAACTTTGAAGAGAAAAATTAAGATAACTTATGTTCGGGTGGGGGGCCATGCCTCAACCACACCTCTAATCACCTATCAAGCCTATCTAGACCTGTTCTGCTCGGCCTGCCCTCAATAGTCTCAGATTCTTGACCCAATCTCCCTTTCCCTTCTGTTCATCCATTCAGCTTCCCCCTCATCCCTAACTTGCTCGGATGAAAACACTTCTGAGACAGACGGAGTCTCCTCTGCCTGGTCTTCCGTACATCCTCCCAGACCAGCCTATCAGACAGCATCCTTCTTCCACCAATACCCTTCCCCTTTACGTCCATTACATCCATATAATCCATCCTGTATCATATATACATTTAGAATCTTCATTAAAACTTTAAATGGCACATCTTTTTGGCGTGGTCCTTGCTAGTCAAACAAATGCGCATTGAGACTAGTCAGGAAATCACAACGCTTGTGCATATGGATCAGCTGACTCGCAACAAATATTATGTGGGCTTTATCATTGACATTTTGGTATTTCTAGTCTTTGTAATGCATGGCGCAATCTGGCAGTTGATTATTCTTTCTTTTAAGAATTCTTGGACATTCTTATTTATGTTTGAGCACCCTTGAAAAAGAGGCATTGCCCCTATTATTCTCAAGAATGCATCTTACATAATCCATGACATTCAAAATGAAATAATTGAACTCATGAGCAAAACGTCGACAGTGCCTATTGTTGAGGAATTAGGCGACTCTTTTTACACAATCAAAATGGATGAAACCCGAGACCGTACTGGCAGTGAAACTATTTCCATTTGCCCTTGATTTTAACCTTCGTTGGATAACTATGACCTGGATGACTGAGAATCTTCATAGACATATTTCCATTATACTGCATTTTGTTGATGAAAGCTCCACCACAAAAGAGAGGCTACTGACAATCACCACAGCAGATGCAGTTGACACAAAAGGTCCCACACAGATACTTATTTCAGAACTAAGAAAAGCTGGCCTGAACACAGACCCAATACTCAGTCAAGTTTACGATTAGGCTTCTCTCAAAAACCAACTCCACTTAGTCATTGTTTATGCCATGTCCAGTGAGAGGGCTATTGAGGATTTATTCAGTATCTGTAATGTGCTGTACAAGTCCACAAGTAAGCCCACCGTTGTTGCCCAATATCAGGTGAACACACTGAAGCGTTGGACAGGACACCTGTGGAGGCAGCAGGGTTGCTGAGTACAATATTCTGGCCCAGCTTTAGATTTTAAGCCCTTATTAGGAGTTTTGGAGTGAGTGGGCTGAGCAGACAGAAGCTACTGACAGTCTCTTGACCTGACTACCATTAATGTATATTTTATAGAACTGGGACACACGTCCTCAGAGGGTATTAGACAAATATCATATACCAGATGTATTCAGTGAAAGCTTTGAGTCTGCTGTAATTTAACGTCTAGGGTAAAGAGGTTGTGTGCTCAGACAGGAACTGGTTTTAGGATCTAAATTGCAAACATGTAATCGGCAGGATGACTTTGATGAGATTTATTAAGCAAAGCAGAAAGAGTAACTTACAGATAAAGTCCAGGCACTCCACAAAAACAAAGGTAATCCAAACGAGTAACGAACCAAGTCCACGAACAGAAAGCAGTTATCACACTGTATGTAGGGATAACAGGTATAATATCCAAGGCAAACAGTGAAACATGAAAAGACAGGGAGACTAGCAGAGACACACGACGAGGTGAAAAAACAATCTGGCCAGGACTGAACAAATACAGAGGCAAACAAGCAGGGAGGGAACAAACAGATGAGATAATCAAGAGTTAACAGGAAACAAGCTATACACGAACAACAGATGCAGCAGACAAAAAAGAAACAGGGGGACTGACAGAAAAACCTACAAACCAAAATACCTGACAGGCAAGACGAAGATGAAATAGTTATACTATAGTAAGTAGTAATGCTTTGTTTTTATGTGATGAACAAATATATGAGACTCAAACCTCTCATTTTCTGTCTTTTGTTACAGATGCGGCTGATTGATCATAAAACTCCATTTGTAATTGTTTGTTAGTTCACCACAGCGTGGCTATGGGTAATTGTGACGTTATTATTTTGCTGTGAGCACATTCTTTGGGTCGACTTGCACCACTTTAGTTCTTGAAGAGGAACCACAGAGAGAGATTATGCATCTGAATGTTGGCGGAAAAAAAGACATTATTTTGAAAAAGTAGATTTGTCAGTGTTTTTGAGGTCCTAACTTAAAATTTAAAAATTTAATTTTTTTTTAATGTAATTTAAGTAAACGCAGTGTCATCACATCTTTGAAGCTGAAACCAGACACGATAACAATGAGAAACATTTCAAAAATACCTTTATTTTCCTCTCAGAGTGCTTAGTTTATATGTTAAAATCACAAAGATTTTCTTCTGGGGTAGATTATAAGTAACTGAGTGTCTAGCAGTGATTATAACCAAAATAACTACTTCATATTTTTGGCCCTACTCCAGCTGACATAATGACATAGTGTATTGCCTTACTGCTTCTATGTCTTCACTTTTCCGTCCAAGCTCACAGGATGTTTATTGTTAGGTGGTGAGAAACTTTACACTTACAAATGTGATTATTGCTGTGGTGTCCTGAAATAAATAAATTTAATACATATTTTAAATTCATGGTTTGCTGTGTTCAGTAGTCAGTAGTTCATGAATGTAGATGTCATGATGTATTTGTGTTTGGGTCACAGGGAGACACCAAATCTCTCTTTTAGGCCTCGAGCTGAGTTAAAAAGCCAAACAATGGGAGGTCATTTTTCAAACAAATAGGTTTACAAGGTAAACTAAACTGTTCTTATTTTCTATTTAACTCTAAATGTCTTTTTATATTCCCCTATGTTGCGTTTATGTTTTATTTAAAGCAATTTGAATTGCTGTGTTGTTGAAATGTGCTATACAAATAACCTTGCCTTGCCTTGTCTATTGTATCAACATTCATACGTACACTTTGAAGTGCCCCAGGCAGAAGCACAACCATGGCAGTTAACAGCATTTACTAGAATCAGAATCAGTGTCAACATCTACACTGGATAACTCGCATTAGTTTTCCTAGAACTACATCTTCAGTAGAGCGTATAGTTCCAAATTAAGAACTGGAGGTGAGACCAGGTGACATTTCATTCACCTGTGGATCTTGGCTGGTGGCAGATACAGAGATCTGAAAAACTAGGCCAAATATAACAAAAACTATCAGCACAGCCAGAGAGTGAGAGCATTTTGTTATTTGGGTGAACCCATTAGACACAGACATCTGGCCCATTTGTGCTCCTGACTCATATCCAAGTTAAGTGTGACATAGATCTCCTAGATTGAGAAAAGAAACACAAACCTCTCATTGCTTTCCAGTATTCACACCTTTAATGGTGTGTCTTCTTCAAGGTAACCTTATCTGCACTAGACAAGAGGAGCTTCCACGCAGTGTTAACTGTGAGTCAAAACAATCAGGTACAGCAGAAGATTTATCTTGTTTATTTCAAGATGCCAGAATGGAGTCCAGTTCCATATTGGAAGTGGATGAGAGTTGTATGAAAATACTTTAAAATGTATCTAAGAAGAGTAAAACTAATCACAATTTAATGTGCTTGTTTGGACCAATAGTGCTGTAATTTAACAAGGCACAATTAAAGATGAATTTATAGGGAAAGACCATAGATACTATGGGATTGCAGAGAGATACAATTATGGACCAATAGGGATTTTCTTCAGATTTGGTGCCAGCTGTGCATTGCTGTAGCTATACAATGTTCACACTTACACTGAGCTGAGCTTTATTCAATACACAGCAATGCTGTGTAAGACATCCTGTGTTCAATGAGAATGACACCAGGCTCACATTCATTTTTTACAACATTGACCAACTGTATGCTGCCGTGGTGATCCAATCATTTTACTGCACTGTTTTTACACTAATTACTCATTCACTGAGGATAAACAAATCAGCCAAATATTGAAAAGGGAAGTATTTGGAATTTAAGTGTTTGGATTAAGATTAATGATTGAAATCAAGATTAATGATTGAAAAAAGCCTGGGAAAAACTGCCATCGTAATGATAAACAGAATCAAAGTCAAAGTCAACCTGCTGAAATATCAAACACAATAAATTAGTTTTTCAGAAACGTGTTGATCCCAGTGGACAAATAGATTTCCTTTTACCCACTTCAGTGTCAAGGAGTGTATGATTAGTATTGCCCTAGTCAGTCCACAAAAGCATTGGTAACAACGCTGAGACAATATTCAATAATTTCACAGAAAACACACAGCAGATACAGTACAGCCTATACAACAACGATGCAGATGTGTCAAAGCACACATAGTGACTATCAGGGAAAATCTGTTGCCTCAATTATTTCACACACTCAGAAATTTACAAAGCCATGCTTCGTTGCAAAGTCACCATTGTTAATTATTTCTGCATAATGAGAAAAGAGGTCCCACTGCAAACAACCTGCTCCCTCAGTGAGCCCATTGCCAAAAAACACAACAACACTGAAAGAACTATTCAATAAAGTCCCAACAAATAAGCATTTTAAAAGACATGTAAATCAGTCAGGTTCCTAGTCATAGCTCTCTTTTCACCTCACCTTTTTTCTTCTGCTGTGACTGTCCCCTCTGGGTTTAGGAAACAAACTTCATTATGGAAGCCTGCACAGTGTAGAGACTGTCAACCCGTACGTGGAACTACGGGAAACATGCTGTTCAAAAAACTTCCTGAAATATAGTAAGGGGGACAAACTGTTGGCAGTGGCTCAACAGGTTTAATTATTCCCTCAGCTCCATTGTTTGATTTTATCTGCTTTTTGTCTTCATACCTGTAGGTATGTGTGAAATAAACATAATAATCTCACAAGAAGGAAGATAGATACATGAATAGATTATCAAAGAAAATGTTTGTTTTCTTGTGGAATGGCAGAAGCAGCCATCTAGATTTGAATCAACTGTCAACTTTTTTACCAAAATACAGAAAGAACATTGTTAATTTAAAACCCTCTAAGTATCTAGGAATGATTAAGGTATAGCCAAACAATCACGAAATTGTACAATGACATCTAAATTAAGGCTGCTGGGAATAAAGCCAAGCTCCAACATTCAGTACCCTTGAGCAAGACTCTTAGCACTTAACAGTCAACAACAGACAGCACACCTTCCAAATCTCGACAAGCTGTGACTTAGAGGTCAAACGGGTCACCAACTACTCAGAGAGATCAGTAGGGGAGACCGGGTATGGTTGTAACATGGGGAGAGTTGTAACAACACCAGTTTCACCAATTAGAGATAAGATAGGAGTCAGGTGATCATTTCAGTATTTACCTACGTCCTCCCCGAGAAGGCATGGTGGTTATCAAGTCTGGAAACAGGTACATTCAAAATATGATATATAACATATAATATAAAACAGAGAAAACAATGATTTTGAGGTGTAATAAAGAAATATGAAGCCAATTTACTCAGTTAGCATTTTCCAGGTGAAGTGATGTGGCCTTCCAATCAATCACCTCATTTTAGATTATAACATTATAACAGTTTATTTTGAATGTGAAGTTTCAGATGCAAATCACTTTACAAACTGGAAGATGAAAAATGGGTGCCTGTTATCTGTAACTGGCTGCAAATTCAGTTCAAGAGCAATATAATATGATCGTGGCTATGGTTGTGGCTTCTGCTATGTGGAAGGACCTCTAACCACTAAATCATACCCTATTGTGTTTGGTCAGTCACAGCAACAAACTCCATAGCTGCAGTAACACTGTACACAGTGGCATTAATAGGAAAATGGCAGGTTTCACAGCTATTTGTGGAATAATCTTACAACTAAAAAACCCACATAACCCCACATCTGCATCTCATGTTGGTGATGTCTGAAAACTATAGCTGAAACCTATGGGTGAAATGGGTAAAAAGGCTTATGAGGTTAGTTACACTCCCTAGACACTGCAAAAGGCCAAAACAAACTCAACATGGCCATCAGAGGAAAATCATACAAACATTACAATAATTTCAATACTTAGGGCCAATACTAATGACTATAAAGATTAGATTTCTCTTAACTTTAACACATGCGATGGCAAACTCAATAAATCTTCCTCTAAAAACCAAAAGAGGCACTCGTATATTGTCCTATTTCAGTCATATATTAAATAATTCAATTTCAATTCAATTTTATTTATATAGCGCCAAATCACAACAACAGTTATCTCACAGCGCTTTTCATAAAAGAGCAGGTCTAGACCGTACTCTATGATGCTATTTACAGAAGCCCAACAGTTCCCACCAAGAGCAGCACTAGGCGACAGAGGCAAGGAAAAACTTCCTTTTAAGAGGCAGAAACCTCGAGCAGAACCATGGCTCAGGGTGGGCGGCCATCTGCCTCGACCGGTTGGGGTGAAGGAGAGAGAGGGAGAGAGAGAGAGAGAGAGAGAGAGAGAGAGAGAGAGAGAGAGAGGGGGGAGGGAGGCAGCCTACACAATATACACACTAAGGTACAGACAGTAAAGGTGATGTTGCTATAGACTTCTAGTGATTTATAGTAGTGTTGATGATAATAATCGTAATGTTAATGATTATAATAACAATAGGACTAGTAACAATAGTTGTAGCAGAGGGTGTCGAGCAGGAAAACATGCTGCAGCATTCTGGATCAGCTGAAGAGTCTTAATGGACTTTTTCGAGCAGCCTGATAATAAGGAATTGCAGTAATCCAGCCTAGAAGTAACAAATGCATGGACTACTTTTTATGCATAATTTTTAGACAGGATGTTCCTGATTTTCGCAATATTACGTAGGCGAACAAAGGCGGTCCTTGAAATTTGCTTAATGTGAGACTTAAACGACATGTCCTGATCAAAGATAACTCCAAGATTCCTCACAGTGGTGCTGGAGGAATGCCATCAAGGGAAACTATAAAGAATAATTCCCATTCATTTAAAGGGTAAATACTGTGAATTGATTAACTTGATTAAAAACCATTTTATCAGCCTCTATTAGCCACAAAAATACTAGTAAGTCACAACCAGGTAATCCAAATATTTAACATTGAATAATATTTAAATAAAAAACAGTGAGTCCTCTTTTCTCCGTTCACTACATTACACTATAGCTGACGCTTTTATCCAAAGCAACTTACAATTGCTATATGTCTGAAGTCGCACACCTCTGGAGCAACTAGGGGTTAAGTGTCTTTCTGAGGCACACATTGGTGGATGTGTCACGGTGGGAATCAAACCCAGGTCTCCCACACCAAAGGCATGTGTCTTACCTGGTGCTTTAAACCATGACATCCAAAAGTTAATCATTGCTGCTGCAGAAAGCATTCTTAACTTCTCAAAAGCACACTACATTTAAAACCTGAACAGTAACTTATACTAAACAGTAACTTATTAAGGAAAATGTAATTGTAAAGTCTTCTAAATTCTATTGAGATGAATCTTATATTGTAGGACTGCTTACAACATTCTCAAGCAGTAGTTCAACATTAATTATCATCTATGATCCAAGACTTACTTACATTAGAATATGAGGACTCTTACCAAACTGAATAATCTGAATAACTGTATATTATTCTGATCAGGGAAAATGTCAATAGTTTTTGTGTTCAAAGTTTGCTTAACCATAATTTTAGTAATCATTTTAAACACTTTCTTTAATAACATAATATCAGGCGCCTATCATCAATTTTACTATTCTGAGGCTTTTTACATAAAACAGAAGAGAAGGTGAGAAGATGATGAGCAAGCAAAAATGAACAAAATTGAAGGGCAGCCCGACCAGACCAACTAACAAAGAGTTGTAGGATCTGGGTTTTCCCCTCTAACCTGAGCCAAACTTTGAACTAAACAGAACTAAGAACTAAAGTGAAACTGAAAACTGGACTACCAAGGTTGGACTACCTTGGCTGATAGCTTGGCAAGCGATGCTCTGTAACCTCTTTCAGTGTCCTTAATGTGGAGTTCACATGCTTACTCAGAAGCCTATATCAGGTCAACAAGCTCAAAAGGGCCCCCCCTACCTCTGAGGCCGGTTTTGTAGAAATAAAACTGACTATCAGATGGATAGTGGTGAACACAAATCTACCACTGTTTCTAATCTTAGAATTATGAGGCACTGAGATTAGAATTATCCTCCATCAATATTTGATTCGCGCAGTGCTTCCAGATCAAAGTGCCAATCTCTAGGTGTATCTCTAGGTATCAGAAACCCTTGTTCTATAACAATTCCAAGTCAACAGTATTTTATACAAAAGGGCCTAATAAACTCCAAGAAAAACAGTTACAATTTAACAAAAGTGTAAATTGGGAATTTTCTCTGATGCTTGCAAAGCTAACAATTACTCAGTGACAGAAACGGAAAGTAAAAAACAACAAAGGAACACAAAGGGATGTGTGTTTCTGTGTGTGACAGCCTGTACTGTGGGCTCCAAACCACAAGGTAAAATTGGTGAGACCGATTAAGAACAAATGCTACTGTGTTTGTCCAAAAGTTGCAGGGTTACATTCAACCAGAGCTATATCAGAGATTCTGGTAAGAGAAAATGACTACAGATTAACACACACACACAAACAATTATTAATCAGAAGCTCCAAATACACCGTCACGTTCCTTCGGATGGTAAGTCCAGGGGGAGGAGGAGCAACAATTTTTGAAATAAAACCGGGCAAAAGAGGACAGTAAGTCAGGGTTATGTGCAAACTTAAGTGTATTTATTCAATATTGACAAAGGAAAACCAACTCAAAACTACTCTCTCAAAAGGAGACAGCGAGCCAACAAGGTAAGGCAACAATAAACACAGGTTAAGTAACTGAGGGAGCAAGGTTCAACACTAAATGAACCGCTGAAAAGTCCTCTCTCCACTGAGGAGGTTAAAACCAGACACTGTTCTGGACTCACAGAAGATCTAAGCTGGTGTTCAACCCACTGGTTGAATGTGCTGCCTCTGTCTGCTGGGCTGACGGTGGTCTGCTCACGGGTGTTGGTCTGCAGTGTGATCACAACAGGTAGAAAGTGAAACAGACCGCCTGCGGTGGAAAAACCCATGCCTTCTTATCCTCCAGGCACATCAGGCACACCTGCTGCAACTCACTCATGCAGCTGAGGCATGGGGGGGAAGGGCCACTACCTGAGAAGGATCAAGGAACACACCCCAACCCAAACAAATGACCCTTAGGGTTGTAACATACACCATCAGAAATTCATAGTTGGAATAAGTAGAATAAGATATTACCCGATACAGCCTTCAATACAACCTCTATGAATGGAGTTACAGCAATATTTTACAAAGGTGGCAACTAAAGAAATAATAAATATATTGCCAACCCACACTGCAACTAAATTAGACAATTTCATTTGTGTATTTATTTACTTATTTTTGGCTAGCTCAAAGAAGTAATACTAATTTCTGTTTGACCTCAGACCTCAGAGTCAGACCTGGACTGAAAAGAAAATTGAGCATAGCCTTAGTTCAAGCAGCCTCAGTTTACAATCCCAGCACATCAGCTGATAGCCGTCAGCCCACTTGATGTGACAGCTCAGCTGATTCCCCTCTTACCATTCATTGGCAAAATCCATACAAGGTGCCTTATTTAAGCTGCTTTAGTCTGCCTACTGTTGCTGCTTCCTCTGTGAGCCGCTTGTAACCTGCCGCCACACCAGCTACTCCTTTCAGGCAATTCCTTTTTTTCAATGGAGAGAGGCGCTCAGCACATCGATTGCT